CTCCACCCTTGCTGTCATTTCGTCTTCGCCCCCTCTCTCGATCTGCTTTCGGGTCTTTATTCCGTTCGTCCCTCTTCCAATGCGTCCCGTGCAATGTCCCGGAGTCCTGAAGATCGCAACTCCTCCGCCGAAGCCACGCCCAACCCTCTATCTGAGTCAGCTGATTCGCCATCTCATTAGCTCATGCACCAATGGCAAGAAGAATCCGTTTGGGCGGTGTACTGTCGAGCCCCGCCTCTTCACTCGGCAAGCTCGTCGAGAGAGTTGAGTTACTTTGCGAATGGAAGCAGCGGCCTAGCCATCCAGACGACAAGCGGCAGATTGGCGGCGTGTTGTGAGACTGCTCACTCGCTTGCTAACTCACTCACATACTTGCTCGCTAGCTTGCTCTCGATCGACCGGGCGAGCTCGTCGTCCGCCTGCCTACTCACTATCTCCTCGGTCGGTCAGTCAGTCAGTCACTCCTCAGCCAAACGACCACTGAGTGGAGCGAGTCATTGCCGCCTGCCGGATTGGTGCTCCAACCGAATTACCCGTGAATAACGAGTATCCTGCCTGGCCTGAACTCTCCACGTGCATCGATCTCGAGCCAGCCGCTGATAGTAGGACGATTATTTGTGTTTGTGCGTGATTCCGTGAATGTGATCGTGCCGCCTCCACCGCTGCGTCTGCTGTCGTATCTTCGAGTAGAGCACCTGTAGGGGAGGAAGATCTCGTGGATTATTGACAAGGAAGGAAGGTGTACCGTCGACCGACTTCTTGTCAGGGAATGAGCTTGCGGAGAGCCGCTCCTTCCTTGTGAGCGATGGTTGATGTCATCGATGATCCTTCAGCGAACCCCCCGACGGTAAGATCGTAGGATCCTCTTATAGCTTTCGATCGAGGCTGCCTTCGGTCATGGTACGTGATGAGCGGACGTTTCTCTTCTCGGATCGATAATCCATGAGAGCTCCCGGCTCCAGAAACCGTCGCGCCCAATCTATCATCCGAGAATCATCATACTTTCTAAGCGCTGAGCGTTGACTTGAACAGCGATGGGGGTCCGCATGTCGAACGCTCGATGGGACTGAAAATCGCCTATCAAAGGCTCCGCTCATGGCGATTCGTATGGAGCAGGTATTTTCCTTTGTTCTCCGCGAACATTTCTCTTCAGACCCACTCCAATCTGAGAGGTGGAAAAAAAACACTCTTGAATGCCTCCGAACACAGAGTTCCTCCGATAGCGGCCACTTGTTTAATTCGTTCCATTGCCACTCGGGGAAGCGAGATTCACGGACGAAAACAGAATCATACTCTCCAACAAAGAGACAGGCGAACAGACAGACAAACCAGCGAACTAAGCGACCGACGGAGCAACCGAACCACCGACGGTCAGAATGAGCCCACTATCACGAACCGACGGTCAGTCAGATGTAAATACACAAAATAGTTGCTCCAAGCAGCAGAGCATCTTCCACGTCTCCCCTCTGTTCTGGTAGACGGTGGACAGCTAATCGGCTATATCAGTGGCCAAGCATCCCTGCTCATCAGACAAGCGGCGGAGCGGGCTCAGCAACCCAATGAGAACCCAAAGCCAGAACGAGATCGCATATACACTGATGTAGTGACAGACAGAATGACAGACGGACAGACCGGCAGATAGACAGACTGGCCGCCAGACAAGAGATCAAAGTACGACGTAACAAGCGGCGAATGGAAATACGAAGAGACGAGTTCATGGAGGTACCCTCCGCTTGAACGGCAAGTGAATGTTAGTTTTCAGCATTTAGCCCTTTCGACAAATATTCAGCCACCGTGGCTAGAGGCGGGGGAAAGCGAAGTTTGGGAAGATTGATCCCGCCACTGAGTTCTCTCCGACGAATGTCGCAAAGATGAGGCTTCGCGATCCAACTCGAGAGTCGTTTAGAACGGAACATCCGAGTGGCGTCCTCCTTCCGGGTTCGAGATCCATACCATAAATATTTTGATAGGAGCGCAGTCTCTAGTGTACAGGCAATCCCCAATTAGCGGGCAGCTTTTCGAGGATCGAATAGACAGACAGAGGCAGTCCCTGCTCAACAGGGAGGTTCCGGGGAGTCGGTATATGGGCCGGCATGTCTTCCCTCCAGCATATCAACATTATACAGTGAATCCCCTCTCAACGGGCCTCGCGGAACCGACGGAATGCATTCGTGGGGGTGAGGATCCGCTGCGGCGGAAGATTCTCAGCATTATCTTATTGGCGTGATAGCTGACGGACGAGGGGGAAAAGTCTTAGCTTTCGAGAGGATTCGCTGGAACAGTTTCCGTTCTAACGAGATCTCACCGTATCCATATTCGATTCGGGTATTCGCCGTTGTCGTCGTCGACTCCTTTGTCAGTGCCCTGCAGATTGGTCTTTGTTGTATTTTCCTCGTGAGACCGACTAGGAGACATCGACGCATGTTCGAAGTGGGAAACCGAGCGAGTCGGCCCAACGAATGAGCATCCCACCGGCGAACCGAGCAAGCGATCGACACAACAAACTTGAGTGAACAAGCGAGCGTGCGATCCAGTCGTGTTTTAATTGGTAGTTCCAACAAACAGAAACAAGAGAATTTCCGAACAGGCGAACAACGCCTCCGAGAGCAAGCATCTGGAACGGTGGTTGACGGCACCGCTCGCTCGAGTACGAGGGGAAACCTCTCAACAGCGAAAAAAAACAGGAGAAAGATGGAGAGATAACCGGGGCGCGCGAACACCACTCACATACAATCCCTAACTCCGACACGCTAGTCAAGAAGCTCTTAGGTTCCGAGAGCAGCACGGAGACGGGTGCCCGGAGCGGGTTGCTCGATGCCCGGAATCGAATGTGGACCGCGAGTCTGCTTCCCTCCCTCACGGAACGAGTGAGATTTTTCACACCATCGCATTAAGACGAACTCGGTGATGTTCCGCCTTCGTGGTTCGAATACCGAAATCAGAGTCCGCTCCGCTGTTTCCCACACATGGCACGGAACATTCGCGGTTTTTCGACTTCCTCCATGTCGGACAGAAAAAATTGTTGCATGTGCACTGCATCCCATCCATTTGAAACTTTCGGGGAAACTGTAGCGGAGACAAGGCAGACTACTGTTCCTCCCATCTACCCATTGGTCTTCGTCCTCGCTACTCATCGTCGACAAGATAGCTTAGGGGAACAAAACGTTCCTTTCTGTTCTCTTCTCGGATCGCGAAACCAAGGAGGCAGCAGAGCGTTGAGCCGGATGATGTTTCGAAAAAAGCTCATTTGGTTTCTGCGACCGCCGCCGCTGCTTCCAAATAATCGTCCGCCCGCTCTCTTACGAAAACCTCGAGAATGCCGATGGAGAAGTTGACATCGCGTGCTCCGCGTAGCTATTCTCACAAGATCATCAGCCTCGAAAAGCGGTCGCGTTGCGAGAGCTCGTCTACGCCAGCCGACTTGCGTTCCGATCCCTGAAGATGTCACCGTGAGAATCGTGCGCACTTTCACCGCTGCTCTTCATCGACGCACATAGTTGTTGCGAGACCTTTGGAGGAATCTCCAGGTGATTAGGTGCAAAGTAGCCCGGAGTCGAAAAGCGATCTAGGCTCACTCAGATTCTCTAGAGAATCGGCCCAAGACGACGAATCCAGTCGCAATGTCGGTCAGACGAAGAAGCCGGCATCGTCTGCAAATTCAGAATCGAGGCATCTCAGCTCTCGGCTATCTCGAAGATGAGAAGCGATCAGAGTGCGGCAGAAAAACGCATCGCGCTTTGTGGCTAAGTACGCGTTGTGCGCACCCCGAAGGCCAACAGTCGATTTAAGATCCAATCTACTCGTCCAAACTCTTTCACTACTGCGATTGGTGGTGATAGCTGAGCATACATAGACGCAGACTACATGAAGAGTACATTCTTCCGAGATACGCCGTATCAGTGCTTATAATCGAAACAGTGCTAGGACACAGCTTTCCTCTTTCGTCTCCCCGATCGTCTGTCGGCCCTGAGATTTCTACGCGCATCTGATAAGCCACCGCCAGTTGCTGCTGAGGCTCCGAGGCTCTAGCATTCTGCTCTATGATTTGCATCAGACGGATTCGATGATAGAACCTATGAAGAGAATTCTCGTTCTCTGCGAGGATCAAAATTACTTGGGGAGTGCAGGGCTCTCCAAATAATCTCCCGCCAAGAATTCCGTCCTCGGTCCTAATGAAGGTAACGGTTCCCGCGGAGGGAACCGCCGCGAACTGTTCGCCGCACTGGCCGTGAAACACATTTCGACTTGTTAGAAGCAGGGGGCGGCTTTCGCGCCCGTCGGGGAATAAATAATTCATTTCTCCAGAATAGAGAGGCGTGAGTATTCGGGAGATACGTATGTGCGAATGAGAGGCGCAGGTTTTCGCTTTTCAATTATTGAGTTATGATCTCAACACACGGAAGAAGCGCAAATAATTCTCGATGCGACTCCGACTCTCGATTGGTTGAGGGCTGGTAAGCGCGATGACGTCCGTGGTGAGCTGCGCTGAGGTCGACATTCGGCGACTAATTTCGAAGGTTGAGCCGAGAAACTTGGTCGCGGCTGATTGAGGAAATACCTGATCGGTGTTATCGGACTATTCGTGGCTTCGCGTCCCCATGGAGCAGAAACGCTTCTCGCGGGGAGTCTTCGCACGGCCAAGCGTTGGCACGACCGAAGTTTGAAAACGGTCCCATGGTGCACTTTGCGCACGCAGAACACAGCTTCCCCTGCAGCACGGGAGCTCCGGAAGATGCGCACGGACAGATGGATGGATTATCTTCGTGATCCTTCTCTGACGTCCCTTGTGTGCTGCACGATGAGATCTTCATCACTCCCCATCTTGTCGTCGAACAGCATATGGGTTCGAATCACTCCTTCAAGCTCGTCGCCATGCATTGTGGGTGAATGGATGTAGGTATGTATGGGTGGGTGTTTGGACGGCTCGCTGGCTCCGGTATGACGAGGGGAGCGGGGAGAAGAGCCAAATCACTCGGCGACCCGGGGAGACAGCCCAACTGATGCAAATTAATAGTGACTACATCAATGTAAGTGCATTCGGAGAGCTCCTGCACGCCGCGAGTCGCCGATCCGTTCAGATAGCTGCGGAGCGATAAGAGGCTAAGTGCGGTCCGAAATAGGGGTAATATAAAGTGGTATACGGCATAGCTCTCCCGGGGAGCGTCCCCGTCTGGAATCGTAGATGGCTTAGTCGGATAGGCTAGATCGGGGGAACTCAGACTGCCGCGCCGAGTTTTCGTCTCGGGGGACCGGATTGATCTCGATTCAGAGGACGCGTAGCGCGGCGGATGCTTCTTTACGTCCTCCGGAAGATCGAGTTCTGAAAATAGCCCCATAGGAAGGCAGCCCCCGACAGAAGGGCACTCTTCTCGGCAGGAATTCAGGTATCAGAGTGGCGAGCAATATAAAAATTTCCCCGCATTCCGTTTAAGTGAGTACCTACCCAGTATGCTCTTGGTATTCATTTGAGTGGTTCAGTATCCTATGTCAGTGTGAGCAACCAGACTTGATCCTGGTCTCGGCGGACTGTCAATTCGGTAGGAATGTCAAATGAATTCGAAACATCCCAGACGGCTGATTACGGTGACCACCGCATCATTATTATTATTTTTTCTTCCATCAGCCCTCGGTCGGATCTCTGGGATCCCCGAGCTCTCCCGAGCTTCAACTTCAGTATCGCTTCTACAATCACGAACTCGGTACGTCTTCGATGATTTCATCCCGCCATGAGGGCCAGAGCCGAACCGCTCTCCGCGAAATTTCGATGGAACTTCGGGTTATCCACCGGAAAATCGCTTCGGTCGACGAGCTCGCGATCTTTCGCTCCATTCCTTGTGCGCTCGGGCTACGAACTCGCTCGGAGCAGACAGAGAGCTAGCTTGATGTCGGAATTCAATACGGCGCGATACATTTTGTCTCCGCACGGGCGAAATTCTGAGGAGGCGCTTCTCCGCCGGAGAAATTGAAAGCCGGTTGCACTTATCCGAAAACATTTCGTCGTCGAGATCGTCTTTCTGCATTGAGCGAGCAGCCCGAACGACCGACCGAGCGCATTTGACATCGGTAACCTAATATGCTTTCTCAAGTATTAGGTTGTTTTTTTCGCTGCAGATCGCCTGAGACGAGATACATTAGGATCTCTGGCGCCGATCCTCAGCGCTCTCGACTTTTTCCGGTTCCGTTGAACTAACAAGCTGGGGTATTCGTGAGCGGATCAAAGAAGGACTCGTGCGAAACTCGCTTGCCGTCGACTCATAGCCGTCATTTCAATCGGTGGTGCGCCACCACTGGTGGCGCAGGGATCTGCCGGCATTGGAAATGCCCCGAGGATCTGTGCATCCTGTTCGCACTCTGCTTGTTTTCGTCCACGATAAACATTTATTCTCTGCCTATGGACGCCGAGTGAGCCTCTGGACGGACGTGGACTGTGATTCGTCAGGGGCGGATTCCCGATTACTCCAATGCGGTCACAGACAACGGAATGGGATATATAAAGAATCGTCATGAGCGGCTCCGTGACCCCTTGGCTTTGGCTCCGCACGAGCTTGAGCCAAGAGTAAGATGGAGAATGAATCTCGATGGCTAAATCTTAATTTGGTTGCGCTAGTGATCCGAGTTCAATTTCGGGAACGATGCCCGTCTGAAGCCGGGACCGTCTTCGGCCTTTCCTCTTCATGATATCGTATCTCTATGCCTATGTATATTACCGATTCATAATTTTTCATTCGATGAGGAATTGACGTGTACTCGAAGTTCAGCATTTTCGATCGGGGCGAAGTTATTCTACGGTGTTTCCGGCTAAGTCAAGTCGGCAGCAATCATGGCCCGGGGATCGGCTCTTCGTCATGTCACGAGAACGGTGCTGCCGACGAGATGAATGAAAAGAGGATATTCGACCTGGAGGGCGAATATCCCTCCCGGGTTCCCCCGAGAAGAGCGAGCCTCGAGAACTGATCAGCGAGGAAAAACGAAAAGATTATTTGAGCTGGCTACACCTGGCTACGTGAACGTCGAAGGTGACGACAACAGTGGAACGCGCTCACTTGTAGTAGTGTTGAGGAAAACCAGGGTGAATCTACTTTTGTTTTTCCTTTGAGGCCTCCTCCTCGGTTTCATATCGTCGACGCACTCTTTCGGAGACGTTGGCGGAGATGGCAGTGACGATACATGCTCGCGATACATCACGACTGAGTTTCCCCTTAAAACACGACTACTTGCGGAACGATTGTGACGTATTTCCTAGGCTGTTTGAGACCATCCCACTCATAGACGAGACGGGATTCTGAGCCGGGATTCTTTGTCTTGCTCATTCCCAGCGACATTAGGTACCATTGAAGTGTATTGAGCACACAGGGGACACGTGCCTGATTCCATACAGAAGCATGCCCGCTCCTCAGAAGATGCGATTTGCCGGTATTCAGGGCTAGAAACGCCGCTTCCCTTGCGCGTTGAATTGCTCTGGTGAATGTACGAAGGCTCCTTGTATTTTTCGTAGGCGAAATCAGCGCATCTAGCGTCTCACGATGTCGTGGAGAACGGTCTTGCAGCCGGTCAGGACGGCCACAGCAGTGGTGCCGCTGCTCAAAGGTATCTCACTCCTCCCGCTAATAGTCTGCTTATTTGCTCCTGATGCCCCAGTCCCTTTACCGGATCCCGCTTTTTGTGTTGACTAATTCTATCCGACCATGCGCTTGAACCCGCTATCATTCCTGTGGAGCTCAGCCAGTCCTCGGAATGGCGACTCGTAACGCATCCGAGAAGGAATATGAGTTTGCTGAGTCTTGTTCGCTATGCTTTTCTCAGGCATTGCCCGATTTGCCATGCGGAAATCGTTCATGCAAGCGTCGTATATTGACTGATTGTCTCGAATCTACGTGAATCAGGAGCGAGAAACAATGACGGAAGCTTCTCGCTCCTTGCCAAAGATTCTCGAGGGGGATCGAGAGGCGGACGATCGGAAGGGGGAGTGGGGGTTACTGGGGTTTTGCAATTGAGCTGGGACTTGTTTCCGTTTGGTACATGATCCGGAATGGGACGGCTAATTACTCTCCGTGTATGCTCCATTCCTCGATCGCTAGATAAGGATTACGCTTGCGGAGCTGCTCGCCATTCCCAGCGATCTGAGCGGGTGGAAGCGACTCAAAAATCGGCAGAGTTCTTCAAACAAAGTATGACTTACGATTTCAGCAGTCCTGCAAACCCAGCCGTGGCAGATTGTGAAGAGCCCTTGGTGAAAATAGAGGTCAACTCGTCACCAGGTGTCGGGGACTTCAATCAACAAACGGCTTTCAGTCTTCCTCTGGATCTCAATTATCCACTGCTCAACGCGACAGACATAAAAAGTTCTTTGTGGACGTATTCAGACTTTCCGGACAGCGTTCAGAAAACAACGTCGAGTCCGTCAACGAGTTCGGAGAAATCGCTCCCCTCTTTCCAGGACTCGACCTCCTATACAGCATATACGAGGTGATTCACAAGTCCGCAATTCCATAGGGCAAGCGCCAAATAGTTTGCACGATCTTCCAAGAGCGAGGAATCCCTCGGATAGTCAACCCGGTCGCGGAGATTGATGTGAGTTCCAATTCTTCGCAGTATGCAAGGTTCAACATATAGCTCGAATTCGGCTAGCAGCGGATATCCTCCGACTCATGGCAATGGCTTCTACGGGAACGCTGTCCATTCGGGATACTCAACGAATATTTCGCTCGGAGCTCCCTACGGTACGTCTCGATCATATGTATGTCTCGAGTGCAACTTCCACAGAATATGCTACATGAGCAAGCTGACCGCCTTGCACTATGATCAGCTTACGAATGTTATCCTGTGTGCGATCGAACTCTTGAATTTCGGATTGATTTCGCAGGAACTAAACATCCGACAACATCATCGTACTTGAGCCATTACCCGACCGCGTTCAGCTCCCCGCAGGGCTCGACATCGACGAGTCCACAGACTGCTCCGTCGCAATCAGCTGCAGTTTACTCATCTTACACGTCGTTTCCAGCGACGAGTCCTAGTCAGGGTTTTCCGCAGCCTGGACCTCTCGACTACAGTCCGTACGGATATGGTAATTATTACTATGGATCCGCAGCGAGTCAAAGCTATCCGGGCAGCGGGTATGCCTCCGCTCTCAGTCAACTCACTCAGGGCACCCCTTCCACCGCAACACCCGCCTATCCTGCAGCAATCACTCCGACGGGTGAGCATTATTCGTATGATACAATAGCAGGAAACTCGATGAAATTACTCCAGGATTCCTCAAATTGTATTCTCCCATGCAGACTTGACTTACGGTATGTCGGGTGAGAGCAGCCCCCCTTCGCCTCTCATGTTCAAACGAAACCGTTCGAGTAAGCGAAGCAGAAAGAACAATTTGCCAACACACTCGATAAGTCTCAGCCCTGAACCGGAACAACCGATGGACCGGGTCTTCATCTGGGATCTCGATGAGGCGGTCGTCATGCTGAACGCTCTCTTAAATGGAAAATTCACTCCCAATGATAGAAAGGTCAGTTCTCGAGCTGCTCCGGAGCTCAGCCTGCATGTTCCGAGAGCTCTGGTAGACTCGGAATCCTGATGATCCTGTCCGCTAGAGTATGGAATACTGCTGACACTAATTCAAGTTCCCCTCATTGGAGTTCCCGCGATTAGCTCAGCCATCATCCGGAAGCGCGATCTTCCTCCATCCTGGAGGGGTATAAATTGTTTCACCTCGCCCCATCCACAAAAGCTCGCCTACGATATTACTTCGTATCACTATTCTATGGGGAAATCACTAGCGAAAAATCTCTCGGAATTTTTCGTCGTGAGAGGAGTTCGAGGCGGAGGACACTTCAGATGAACAGCGAACCATGCTGAGAGGCAGAAAAAGACTCGAACGCCAGAGCGAAAAAAAAAAGCTATTCGTGGTTTGCAGCGATCATCCCTCGGTTGGTGGGTGCGTGCGCGCTCTCAATCTGTGCAGGGGAGGACGCTGCAGAAAAGGACGGCTGGCACGGATGGGAGGATTTGAGGGTCTTTTCGCTCCGCCTCCGTCGAGGTGTATAGTTTCACCCATCGAGCATCACATTTCACCAATGGGGTATGAGCAAGCCTCCGACGAGCTCCGGCCAAGCTGAAAGCGAACGAAGGGTCTTATCGTCGGCGAACACTTCGCTCCAACGATGATGCTCGTCAGTTAGCCGAGAGTCTTGCAGAGGCCGCGTCAAACAATATTTTTTCGGGGGTTCTTCCTTCTCTCGACTGGACCGCTATGCTGGGACTGGGGAGCCGCAATGGACCCGCGCAATATTCCGCGGGAAATGAGAGGGCAAAGATTACAGAGAGTTCAGAGGTGAATCGGAGGCTCCGCCTATGACTTAGATTCTAAATCCTTTTCCTCTGTCTCTCCCATAGGATGTGGGCCTGACCAAGCAGTACGCAACCAAACTGCAGCATTTGATGTATTTCGTTGCCGATGCTCATCTTCACTATCGGGAGCTGGAAGAATGTGATCAAGTGAACGTCGATGATGTCTCTAGCGACGAGCAGCTTGCGCTACAGCAACAAGATCCGAATAATTCCTTGATCCCTCTCGTTGGGGGTCTCTGCCTCAACGGTGAGTGCGGCTCATCATTTGTGCCTCTGCTCAAGTCGGACGATCGAACGTCCGCGAAACCTGAACGGCTCTCTGTAATACGCAGGAACTCGTCCGGCTGGGATCGAATGGATGCGGAAATTGGCCAATCGATATCAAAGAATCCGAGAAGTGTACAAGCAGTATGCTGGCAATGTCGGGGAGCTATTGAACGGATCCGAAGGCGGCGTAGAAGAATGGCTAAAACTCCGACAGAAACTTGAAGATGCTACCGACAAGTGGCTAACCCACGCACAGATGTGCATAGATCTCATTAATCGGAGGCAAGCATATCTCGATATATCGTGAAATTCTCATCTTCAAAAAAGCTCCGAAATGTAACTATTTGAGAGATGATCGTAACGTCTCATTGGATTCTGATTCAAACGTTCCAGGTCCAAGTGTATCAACGTACTAGTCTCATCGAATCAATTGGTTGTCACACTTTCGAAGGTTCTCATCTTCGGACTTGGCGAACTTTTTCCTATCGAGAACGTATATTCCGCTCACAAAATCAGCAAAGAGAGCTGCTTTGAGAGGGTATTGACGAAATTCGGAAAAAAGTGTACCTATGTCGTCATTGGCTCCTCAGACGACGACGAAAGATCATGCAAAGCGGTGAGTGCTCGATTTGAGAACCTCTGATTTCTAGTCGCTGGTCTCTACGGTGACGGAGCGCCGGGGTCCTGCTGCATGTACTGGTCCCATCGCCGCATCGATGCATTGCACCAACCGTCCGATTAGTAGGACCATCATCCACGGAGCGACGAGCCGCGATTTCTACGACGAGACGCTCGAGAGGATCCAGAGTGTCTCTTATCTCACATGGTTCATTTCGTGTCATTTCAGCTGAGCATCCCTTTCTGGCCGGTCGCGAGACGCTCTGACCTTGAGACACTGTACTACACTCTCGACGTTGGACATCTCTAGGGCACATGGCCTCGAACTCAACTATGCTGCGCCGTCGCACCACGCTGGCTAAGCAGAAAATTTCGAGGAAAGTCGGGGCTATCTCTGCTAGCCTTGTCGGTCGGTACATCGACAGGCAAGCAAGCTAGCAGGCAGACTTGGCCGGCAGTCAGTGTAAATAATGAATCCAAAAGGCGTTCGGGGAGTCACAGCGTCCCTTACCGCGAGATAATGCTCCCATGAGGTGACAAACCTTTCCCTCCGCGGAGGGAAATATCCTAGAGAAAATTACAATAGTGACATTGGGAAAGAGATTCAGAAGATATAGAAGGGAGGAGCCGCTCAACTACAAGGGTCGTCTGGAATGATTGTCGATGCGGACCTCGGATCACAGAGTCTCGTTCCGGTTACGCAATTGTGATAAAACGCGCAATAGTTCGAATTTCGTGAGAACGCAGGAGATACGTAGCTCCGTGAGCGTCGATTAAATCTATAGTCAATATAGTAGAGATTCTTGGTTTTGTTCAGAGTGAACTCAGTCGCTGCCTTAAGATAAGTGCATGAACTAAATGAATTAATTTCGAATCGGGAAAGTGGACTCCTTCCCTGAACATACATGCCTCCTAATCCTCCTCTATCCAACCTCTCGAAAATCATGCGACTCCCCTCAGCGTTCCATTATTTCGGTGCATGCTGAAAACTCATCAGTCGTGAAATCACTGAGCAGGCCCGACCGCATCCTCGGGTGCATCCGAAGAATCGCGCCCAGAGCGGTCGTCATCCTCTTGGGTCACTACGATGGGCTCGGACGATCAGATGGGAAGCTCGTCTGGGCAATCGCCTCGACTCTACCGATGAAATCGTCGACTGAATCCAAGTGCAGGGTCCTCATCCCAGCGTGCGAAGTCGAGTCAGATCTGATCATCTTCGCACGGTTCTATCATCGAGACTAACATTCAGATGAGAAGCAACCACTCAAGTCCACTTGGGCGACTTAGAAACATAGAATGCTACTCCCTCCATGAGAAGTGGGGCTACGAGACACTTTCACTCTGTGAGGAAAAGACTTCCGGGAGATCTCGCCGGAGCTCTCTCCGTCGTGTGTAGTCGATGGAAAATTCCATCTGAACGCATGGAAATAAATCTCAAGATGGAGTCCACGGCACTATTTTTTCTCGAGAATCTCTCCGTATCCAGGCGCTGCCTGCCCCCCTCATCGGTCCACGACACCCCAGCCCACACCGAGGATATGCGTCTCGTGGTATTCTTGGGATCCTTCTCGGTAATATCACTATCGTGTCTCCGGAAGAATCAATATATGGGTGTATTCTCAGGAGACCGCTGCGTGGCGGGGGTTCGAGTTGAGCTCTGCGACTGTCCGACATCAAAAAACGATGAAAATCGTTGATCGGCAGCGTTTCTAACGCACATGCGACGATCAGAATGTGTGTTTTTTGTTCAAGTAGAGTTCGTTGTTCGAGATGTTCTCCACACAATCGCGATCGACAACTGCCTTCTTCTCTCGACTCTTCAAATCAGCGAACGAGCGAGCGAGCGCTCTCAAATGTGATGGATCAAAATTTGTCCTCTGCTGTCAACCACGAGTGACGAGCAATGTCAGGCATACAGTCAGCTTCAGACAGCTAAGCATCCGCCAGCGCTAGACGAAGAGGGAAATCCATAGACATTCAGAAAGAGAGAGATCCGAATGGGCGCACCCTCCCGGGGGAAGACGACAAGCCGCAGTGAAGTTGAGCCTCATGTGGGTCAGCGAAAGTTAATTGGAACTTATTGGAGCGCTCAATCCATGGTCATACATTCAATCATCCCGGGAGAGGAGGAGCAGCTCATCTCAGTGCTGGAAGAAAATATGAACACAGGAGAGAGAGAAGATTGTGACAGAAGGAAAGAGTAAAGGTCAGTTGTTGATCTCTATGACTCCTTCCCCCGAAAATGAAGCGAAACCCGCAGTCGCGATGAATTCGTCGGGGAAGGAGAGCGAGATCCTCAGACGGGGCAAGCAAAGGCTAGAAAGTACTGTAGAAATTCGGGGACAGACAAGCGTACAGACACAGACTCAATCGACGCGGGCATCTCGATGACGCGATGTACACATGTGTATCTCCTGGTGGACGGGCATTCCCTCAAACCAGATGCGGCAGCCCGAAGCGAAGGTGAGGCGGAGGAGACGGGCATCTCCCGCTGTTATTCTCCCATGACAAGCTCTATCAGTGTGTGAGTGCAAGGTAGGACGATCCGGTCCTTCGCGGACAGCGGATGGACAGGCGACCGGCGGAAGATGGCTGTACACCGACGGGCCCTTTTAGAGGAAGAAGAACGATTGTCGCTCTCTATGCACTCGCTCACCGTTGAGAGAATTCAAAAAGTATTCTCTCAAATGAAGATTTTCTCGGGAGTCGAATATCCTGTCACGGGCGGTGCGGAGTTGGCCCGAGGACACAATGCAAGTGCGGTATGACTTCCCAAGAACCGCCGTTACCACTCCTGAATTTTTTGACTCACCTATGGATGGTGATTGCCATATGGAGCCGTGGGAAAAGCCGGCGAGGATCTCAAACCGCAGGCCCCCGAAATACTTCCGAGAGTGGGACCGAGGTCGCTTGCTCGCCCTGGGTTATTGATTGATTTTTCCATGCTCCATCCCATGAATAAAACTTCGATTACGGACGCGTAATCACAGGGGGCAAAAGCGAGGCTCTCAGGCTCGAGGTCCTATAGCGTCTAATCATGCTCCATACATACACTCTCCGCTCTCGGAGCTTCGCCATCCCGTTGAGCGAATAGTAGCGCTCCGATTTATTATGACATCACGCCTCACGATACGGATGTATGAGCTGTCTTCGCACGATCTAGAAGTCGACAATCCTGAGACCTGCCCTGAATCCGGGGACATAAGTTCTCAATCCATTCCAGCTAATCGATGGGGAGAGAGAGTTGAAGCTCTCTGTGGAGCGCATATTTGCACACGGCTCGGGGAAGTCTGCGGCATCCATGATCCGGGGGAGCTTCCCTTCCCCTACCCGCTTATCAAGCCTCAATTCTGAGCCTCAATCGGACAGTCATTTTCCACGGATATAAATTAAGGGCGCTCATCCCCATCCTGGGCTCATCAAGCGCATTCTATAATCACCGCGCTGTACTTCTCCTCCACTGGGTCCGGATAGCGGATGGCCTGAGAGAATGAAAAGGCCAGCTCCGTCCCGAATTCGTACTTGCTTGCTCGATGAATAAAAAAAATTGATCACGGAAATGATATCGATCTAATTAATTCCTGGGGCAGCAATCCAGCTGACTCGTGGAGAACTCGCACGGTGCTCCGTAGAAGTCCGCCTATTTCGAGTCAGATATCAAAACCCTGGCGGCAGCGAAATTCGGTAACTCGAAACCAGCGGGGGGAACCCTGTGAATCGTAATTCACGAGTGCTAGACTCCCGGAGCACCTTCCGCCATTCTCACAAGAAGATCCTGATTCGCAAGTAGCAGAGGCGAGTCCAGAATTTTGTCTTCAGGGGGAGGGCAGTCGACTCAGGTCCAGGGGGAAGACAGTCTGTTGTAGCGTGAGCTACTCAAATGGACACGGACACGTTGTCTCGAGCTATTGGCGAAATTCCAAAGGAATTCACCCTCCGCTGTTCCTCGGTGATTGCAAGATTTGGGTGCGGTCGCGAACCGCGATACGAACCTCCCCCGAAACTCGCCAGCACGTTTCTCGAGGTACGAAAATTCCGAGATGCCTAGGCCGGCGAACTCTGCGGCTGGAACGTCTGAGAGGGTTCACGATTCCCGCCTCGGGCGTCTCGTTGCCCGAATCCAGCTCCGGAGACGCTCCCAGCCTGTCATTTACGTGGGTTCGCTTCGATCGACCGACCGAGACTCGATACTCTAGTCCATTTCGTGAGATCCTGAAGGTCTCTTGTCCAGTCTCGAGGACGAGATATGGTCCTTCATATTGCTGTAAGACAGAGGGTTTCAAGGAGTCAGCAAGCGAGAAGACATGATGAGCGGCTCGCCAAAATTCGGGTCCCATGACGCTGGAATCGGCTGCAGCATTGAGCCTCCCGCGTGGGGGCGTTGGCATAAACGCAGCCAGGAGGCTTCATAGCTGTTCCAGCCGCTCGGTCGGTATCTCTGGAGCTGTAGGCTCCACGAACTCAGCCGGGAACCGGAGGGAAACCGTATACCACTTCAGCCGTGGGGCATCCAAAGTCTCCAAGCGGTGCGCAAACCCAGCAGCACCAAAGGAAGTCCCCGGATCCATGCGGGCGTCTCGATCCGCGCTTTCGACGCCCCCCCCCATTCAACTAGCGGTGAGGACGTTCCACCATCCCTTTGACCTGCATATTCTCTCCCCAAGGAGAGTATTTGCTTCGCAGGGTCGCGAGAGAGCGTCGGCGACCACGTTCCCATATCCAGAAATGTGCTGGATGAAGTCCGATGTCATTGCATTCGGCTGTGAAAGCAAGGTTATGATGAGGTCTATGACGCTGCTGTCTCGTAGATGAGGGGGAAACCGGCCTCGCGATACTGAAGTTGAGAGGTTCATGGTCAGTGAAGATAATGATGGGTCTCCTAAATACGTTGTGCAGGATATAACGGAATGCGGGATACATACACGGCCAACAGCTCCCTATCGAAAGTACTGTAGCGCGTCTCCGGGTCTCTCAAATCCCGGTCGGAGAAACTCAGGGTCTGCCGTGTCCACCTGCCCCCTGGTTCCGGACTACTGCCCTGACACAGAATCTCCGAGCATTCATCGCACAGAGTGGCGGTCTTCCTTTGTAACGGAGCGACGCAAGTCATGTTCTGACTCCAAATCTATCTGTTGACATGAGGTACCTTCGCGTGCGCGATTATGCGGCTCCTGCACATCCATCAGATTTCACCGTCCTAATACCCCTAATACGTTGATACCCGATCCTGGTACCGAAACCCAAATTGCCCTGTAGAATCGGGGGAAGGTTGATCCGATAGACCGAAGCTGGATCGTATAGGAAATCCCGACGAGCCAGATCACATTGAAAAAAATCAGCAGCCCACGGAGCGCATGACAGACGCTCACTCTACCTGCTCTGGCAAGTTTATCCCTCTAGGAGGTACCCTGTCCTGAATTTCGAGTCTTCCTTAGCGGCCCTGAGGGCTGGCGGTCAGAGAATGTCGAATCATAGCATGAGTAGAGCGTACTTTTTCTAGTCGAGTAACCTCATTTTCCATAAGAATGAAGACAATCATTGATTCGGGGCTCGGAATGGGTGTGAACGGGCTCGACAGCGTGTCCGACGGAAGACACGAAGAACTTCATCGGTGGAATGGTTTGCAGACCCGACGATTGAGGACACGCTTCTCTCATCTCGCTTTTTACTACAGTCCTCGATGCATCTCCTCAATGATGATGGCCTATTGAAACTTTCCACATTCATTTTAGAACCGGAGGGCAGTTTCGGGACTGGTCTCTGGATGCAAATGTAGCTCTCGAGAGCTTTCCCGCCAAATGAAACGTTCAGATGAGTTGTTTCTGAATTACCTTAATGCTTTAGCCGCCTCGGAGCCCCCGATTACAGGTGTATGACGCTCGTCCCGCACAGGATTCGAAGGGCTGCATTGTTGTATCTAACGGAGACAGCTCTCTGTACGCCTCGGATCCTTGCGTCGAGAGCAACTGTCATCGGTAATCACGAACGAAGCTTCAGAGGTCACTCGTCAGGAACGGGTGCATCGAGGGCTTGAACCAGCGTCTGAGACTGCCTCCGTCAATTCGACGGGGAGCTAACTTCTCTCCGCGCCCCATTTCACGACTTCGCAACCCCACAGAACCTAGTGATCCCAAGATTGAAGCCTCACGCGAGGCAGCCGAAACTGAAAACTCCGAGACAGCTCTACAGTCATGAGAACGCAGAGATTCCGATTGGAAAATTGATCTGAGGGATCGATGAGTCTTGCCCGTGGCTGCGTACGTGGAAGAATCTAGCTTTCGGGAGCGGCTGGATAGGAATATGGGATCCGAGTCGATATTCTCTACCGAGGTGCACGCGGCGTCGTTCCGAGTTTCGGTGAGGATATCACGAGAAATGAATCCTTACGCTGGTGAGCGTTCTTTCTCTCTCTCGGGCACAGCCCGGAGTATCTGTCAGTGCGGCAGCGTCAAGCAGATGACCGATACGATGATAATCCCCCTCGTAGGGTAGCTCTGATACAACGACAAATGATTTCGAAGGAAGTCAAGAAGATGTTGGAGAATGATATCATAGAAACTTCGTCAAGTCCCTGAGCTTTGCCTGCTGTTCTGGTAAAAAGGAAAGATGGGACGATAAGATTCTGTATCGAGTACAGAAAACTGTGACCAAAAGAGATGTCTATCCCCCGCCGCGGATAGACCAGCTACCTTCCAATGGTTGATGGACAGGGTAATCGGTCCCCTCAAATACAAGATGACACCGGTATACTTACATGAGATGACGTGATAATCTAGTCTAAAAAGGCTTCGATACCCATATCTCCGACCTCCGAGAATTCCTCACCGCCATTGAGGTGGCCAGGCTCAAGTTGAAAGCGTGGAAATGCGTGTTCGCTACCACCGAAGTGACCTATCTCGGACACCGGATCACACCGGCGGGAATCGCACCGGATCCGGAGGACGTCGCCACTGTAGCAACTTCGCGAGCCTCCCGTCCCCGCTCTACGATGTTTTGAACAAAGAGTTTGGGGGACGTTCAACACAGGGCGTTCGTTGAGATCGAAGACCGTATCACGAATCACGAGGGAACCGATCCTCTCTCATTTCCGTAACGATTTAGAGACCCGGCTTCAAACGGACGCGAGCGGTACTGGCCTTGGAGCAGTCCTCGTGCAGATCCGGGAAGGTAAAGTGGTCAAATTATTGTTCGCCGCGGGTCGGGTCTCAGCTCGCTTCGTGGTGCAATCTCTCCAAACAATGATTAACACTGTCGGGCAGATTGGGACGATCGTCACGGACAGCGCGACCTGCATTCGGGGATCCGTACTCCTTGATTATCTTCAGAGCGTTGGAACTTCGCAAATTCGAACGTCGGCGGGCCATCCGCAGTGTAATGGTTTAGCCGAGCGAACCATAAGAACATTGACGGACCGCTTGGCTGCTCAGGTGCAGCAGGGCTTCCGGAAGAGGGAAGTATTTTTTTTTAAATTACTTTTCCTCCGGAAAGAATTATTCCTTCCAAGAGGGCCCACACACTCGCTTAGGAACTTCTTATTAGGTTTTTGTCCCAGCTTGAGAGGCTTTGCACGAATTATCTCATCTTTGCTAGCTGCCACTAGCCACTTTGCTCCGACGGGCTGCATGAGTACGCGCGATAGCCACCATTATGAATTTTAGAAAAGCTCCAGCCGTATCAGCAGGGGAGCTTCTCATTGTCTTATGTCCCGACGCCTCTTCAGAGCAGCGTCGCGGCTTCAGCTTCGCAAATTGCAATATAAGTGGAGCAGGGACTACATATTCGTCAACGACTCGACGCAGGGAGAAGGAGTCAGGGTGCTGCTGACTATTCCCCGAGGGACGTAGACACTGAAAGAAAAGGTCCCGTATTTTTCAATTTTCATCTCGCACTCGGGATGTGGGATCCAGGGTGATCCTCGCAGGACCGCCGAAGCGGGGGGTCTCTCCGCTCCCTCGCACGAATCAACTCTTCAGCACGAAAATTGACGAGCGGTTTCCGTATATTCCAGCAACAGGCATGATCGCTGCTTCTTGTCCACCTCAGGCCTTAGAGGGATTCCGGGCTTCTCGCATGTTCCGCACATTTCAGTCCCACGTTCTTCAATCTCAAGTGCCAGAGACTGGGGATGGTACCCTCATTGAATTCGTCATCGTCCCGTGCTCGAGTGACGATAATGCAGATGATGGTCTTAAGTGAATCATTGCTCACTCTCAGTGCAATAGTTGGTTTATAGATCTCCAACGAGTCGGTCCACGTTGATATCTGCAGAGTCGTCGGGATCGAATTGAGGTGTCCTTCCTCCTGCTTTCGTCTTCCTTCGATTCCGCGTTGAAAAAATGCACCCCATCCGATGTTCCCAAAGAGTCCCGAAGGAGATATTATCGGAAGAAGATAGGTATTTTTTTCCCGAGGTCATCGAGGTTTTATTGTGGAGAATCGCAGATCAACCGAATCGACGGATAACAGAGAGAACGAGGCTTTTCTTCGTCAGCGCCTGGGTACGAATTCTTAATTATACGGTATCGAATTCAGTGTGGCTGACCCCGATAGGAGCACATTCCAGAGAACGACGGAATCTTATGCCTCATTAGAGCCCGACAGTCTGTGAGGTCATCTTCCGTGACTCTGCGACGTGAGTTCTAAAAAGAACCTCTCATGGGAGGAAGCGTCACAAGTGAAAATTCTCTTTCTTCAATCCGCGTTTACGGAGATCGGTATGTTTTTCGAGAGTCCCAAGCCTAACTGAGGATAGTATGAAGTATTAGCGTCAGTCAGCTGATGGTTCGCGAAAAATCGAATTTCGAACTTTTCCATGGGGGAGGAGTCGTCGAAGTTGGGAATTTTCAAACCTTCCCGTATGTTGGCCTCGAGCTTGGAACGGCATGATAAGAGAGCCCGCCTCTCGGCGTACTGCTGATGAAACTCCTTCGGGTCAGGATTCGGACCGTGAGAAAGCTATACTTCCCTTTTCTCCTGATTTTATAGACGTTTCTGCTCGTCATAGATCATCAGCAGGAATAATTGGACTCACGACATCCCCAACTTCGACGACTCCTCTCCATGGAAAAGTTCAAAATTCGGTTTTCCGCGAACCATAAGCTGACTGACGCTAATACTTCATACTATTCTCAGTTAAGCTTGGGACTTTCGAAAAACATACCCATCGTCCTAAACCCGGATTGAAGGAAGAGAATGTTTACTTGTCAGATAGATGGGCTCGGTGGCGATGAGAGCTTTTTTCCCGAGCCCTCGAGTTATCACAGCTAATGTCTCACCCAGGAAGAGCAGGCTCGGTTTTGATGTCACAAATTGATTTCTGTTCGGAAGACATGCATATATCTTTCAATTTCTCGAAAACGAGCAATTTCGTCGTTCCGTCATAGCTTATGAGAATCACGTCACAGTCCCAAGCTGTCAGCATCTTCGTGAGGGAACTTGGTGTCAAATTACCCCTCCAGTGAAATCGACCAGTGTTCGTGACGAAAATCGACACCGAACATGATGGCTCTTCCCCATGGTGAGGGACAGCATGTATCCTAACCCCACCGCAAGTTTCAGCGCAAACGGCTCGCTCAGTCTCCACTGATGGAGATTCTAAGACGGCCCGCTTCCACGCGTGTCGAGGCTTCAAGAGCGTTCCGTCAGAGACATCATTTCTGCGTATCAGCCATTCGAGCTCGCTCTCCGGCGCCGGCTCTCGGAGTGAAACATCGCATTACAAACAATTGGTTCCGGATTCTTCTTCGACTTTCCCGTGTCTGTTCCCCTTACAGTGGACGGATGCACTATTCATCATACGATCACCGGGCATGCACATAAGACGTACATACACCACCGCTTGGAGAGTACGTTTACCCGTGACGTACAGGGAAGCGGTTCTGGTCATTCAAGATGACCTGGGAGCGATATCACATCTCAACGCGACGAACTCTGACTGAGCCCCAGGCCTTTCCGATCAGAACCGGGATGGGGAAGTGTGAGCTGAAATGAAAACCATATGATCTTCGTTTGCCGACACGACGAGAGCTCCTCATTCTTCCGCACTAGATGTTGTGTTCCGCTAAACGGATTGCGGCGAGGCATAACAGATGTATGCATCGCTCCGGAGTGAATGAAGAGAGATATCAGCATTTCGAGCGTGAGAGGCATTTATTCACAAACAGCTCTCGCAGTTCTGCACCAATTATGCCACCCCTATGTACATACCTAGCAATGCGTGCCTAACAAGTAGACGTGATTTGAGCGTTTCACGTGGCAAAACGACTCGTGAACATTCGTAATGGGTAATACTCCCCCCTCCTTTTTCCAGTCTCTGGCGCCACGGTTTCTTTGATATCGTGAGCTGTAGCGTTGAGAGAACCATTGATCCAACGCAACTTCGATATGCTCGCCGCGGAAAGGAATTGACTCGCGGGATTCGTATAAAACTGCGGTTGTCTAGGAAAACCCCTGTGCGTCCGTTTGATGGGGAATTGGAAAAAACTACGCTATTCAAAACACAATATTCCGAGAGCAGGGAAATCCGAGACCCTCAAAAATGAGGCTTTAACAGATCATCAGATTTTACACGCTTGAATCGCGTACAGTATGTACAGAACTTCACAAGAGAGACTTCTCATCATCGCACAGTTGCTGAGCCGCAATTCCGTCGACAGATGAGTCTTGGCTGACGAAAGAGTCGCTGCTGATCGAGCGAGAGACTACCCGCGCTTGACGTCTCTGATTTATTATCGTCTTTATGTTGGTTCGGAGTTTGCGCGCCGATGTCAGCCTCGTGGGATTATTCTTCCATTGTGTCTGCCTGGAAAGGAAAAAGCGATTACTTCAATCCAGGAGTCGTCATGGATTCCCCGTCCATGGCAAACTGATGGAGAGGCCTCCAGCGTGAAGAGCTAGAGAGCTGTCACTTCTCGTTCAGGGCTCAAGGATTCTAGGGTGACATCGCTGGGAGAGAAGATTCAAATTGTCAAGAGGGTTGCACACTACGAACTCGGGCAGCTATAGCTAGATTCGGGATTCGGCCTGCTCGAAGCAACAGTGTTCAAAGCGAGCAAAGCTACTCACCGCTTCTTTTCGACCATCGCTGCCACCCTTCTTCCCTGAGAAGTTGAACAAGAACCATCAATTTGAGCCCAACTACCGCGAAGTCCTGATCCGACGGATCCAGTCCCTCCCGGAGCTACTGCCTTCTTGCAAAAGTTCTTCGGGAGGGCCATTCGCTCTTTTCGACTAGATAGTTGACTTACCTCGGCGTCAGAGGGTAGAAGATGGGCTCGGTTGCGACACAAGTCTTGCAGGAGCGCTCTCCCTTTCGAACGATTCTCTCCGTAGCGGGCTTCCCAAGCATTGAGCAGCTTATTCATGTATCTGGAAAATTGGATTTTTCTATGTGGAGCTCGTGACCGGCACTTCGGACTGTGAGGATCCATATGAAGGGTAACATGAAACTCGCTCGTTATTGTTGACCCCCGAGCCGGAAGATTCCACAAACCTATCGGGCACCAAGTGTTCATATTCGCGAGACGGGATCACTTGTATGAAATTACTCTCCGAGACCCTTTCCAACTCGTCTTCGTATTCCGTCAACGTCGTCAAGTCGATCGGAAGCAGTTTCTCCAGGATAGCTCCATCGCGCAACTCGAGCTGATCACAGGTAAAAACTTCTTTTTCTTCAACTCCGCGACGGTCAATTGCTTGCGGCTGAAGCTCGTGGACATGAAAACCACCTTTGGAGAGAAGTGATTTTAAACTTCGACGTCGGGAGGGAGGAATCAATTCTCGATCTTCCAAATTTCTGTCATCACATACATCATCCTCGTCGAGTCCGTAATCGGTAGGATCGATTTGTACATTTTCCATGGAAGGCAAACGAAGTCCAATCACGTTCAGCAGATCTCTGACTAGAGGTTCTTTGATACGAGCATCATTCTCTGAGCTCGCTTTCATGCTGGGGGAGATATTCACTTCGAGTAACCACGGTTTCAAATCTGAATCGAGGAGAACGTCGAAGCCGAATAACTCGAAGCATGAATAACGAGATGGGGCATAAGTGTGTGACATGCGCATGATGGGATCTTCTGCAGCGATCAACGTTCTGACAATCACGTCTTCTAGACTACTCCACACGTCCGCAATTTTTGCGTTGGGTCGATTCTTCTCTAGATACGACCATAGCTCATCGAGAGTCCATTTCTGCTCGTCTGAATACTCGGAACTCATTTTGTTTAGGGAGTAATTCGTCAAGTGCATGAAGGTATTCCCGAGGCTATCAGCCGAGTCCGAATACGGCATTGTGGCGAATCGAACCATCCCTGAGGAATAAGAAACTCTGACATAATACTGTTATATGCCTAGCTATCCACGAATGTAGATGCTCATTCTCGCTCCCATCCAACACAGAGTCATGAAAAAGGCATGATCGCGAGAAAACTTACCCTGCTTGTATACGTAAACTTTCAACGGATCCCAACATGTCACCAAGGCGTACAAGCGCAAGTCGAATTTGTTTCCGTTGATCAACATAGGTTTATGGATATATTTTTGAATCACCAGGGGTTCTCCCACTTTTTGCGAGATTTGGCTCCACCGGGAGACGATGAAGACGCCTGTCCCTCGCGAAGACGCAGGCTATGGGGAAAAACATTTGTTATCCTCAGGCGACAGCCGTAATCTTAATCGAAGCGAAATCATGTCATAGCGTACCGGTTTCGCAATCCACCGGTGAACCGAGCCTTCCTTTTTCCAGGCTCTGTGGAAACTCTTTGATTCTATGGGGAGCAAAAATGTCTGAGGAACGAAGTCCAATGATATAGGCGAATCTTTCCGCAGTCGACAGATGTTCATGTGCAATTTATCTTTCCGGCCGAGGTGAAAGCTCCCCGGGAAGTGATTGACTTTCTGGTACAGGTTCATTCCACAATAAAATATGCTCTTCATGTGCTTGCCCCACATCGCTATCCATTTTCGCTCATCTGTAACGCGAGGGATTCCAGCTGAGTGAGCTCTCCGGACACAATGATTCATGCTCGTCCGGCCTATTCTCGTCCGCTCATGCACAGGTCATACTTTGCGCAATCGCCATAGGATCCATCGAGATGAATTATCTGAATCGGAATCAGACTGTCCAGCACTCACCCTTGGTCATTTTGAAGCCGGATCGTCGGACGATATCCCTGACCAGAGTCGGGGTTATGGTGGTGAGTTTCCATTTGAGCTGATTTCGAACACTCACTGGCAGTGGGACTATATTGTGCTCCTCCGTCAAGGAGAAGAACCGGATAGTCGGTGGGACTACTGGGAAGAGACTCTTTCGGAGCGGGTACACTTGATTCTCCTGAAAACGTAAGGCCATCCAATGAAAACATTCGGTGCGAGCGTCGCAAGGAATGATGTATCTCGGTCCAAGCGGAGCCTTGCGTCGCATTCGCGTATTCCGCTGAGCGATCCGTGACGATTGATGTAGGCATCTCCTCCGAAACTGATCTTTGCCGTGAACGGAGATAAGAGACACCGTAACGAAAATGAAACACGGTAATAATCTTGCCGGTTCTATTGAGTCGTAAGCATCCTCTCGGAACCATCAATCTTCCAGAGTCGCATTCGAGTTCCGGTGGTAGATCAAGCGGTGGTCGCCGAAAACTCCCCGAGTTTAACCTGAACCTCATTCCGCGCTTCCCCGGTATATTTACGCAGCGAGCGGCCATGAAGTTCGGATCAATAGCGTCCACGGTGAAAAAACAACTTACAGTCAATATGATGCCGTCCTGAGATTCATCGCCCGTCGCACTCGACACGCTCTCCAGAACGGGCATGATTCTGGCGTAATTCTATTTGTATTCGGTGATTCCCACAGGAGCTCAGCCCACTTCCGTTGCAACCGCGGCTGAGCACACCACGATGCTGAAACGGCAGACGACAGCGATCACGTTGATAACTCGAGCGAAGATTGGCGGTAGTCGACCAGGAAACGAGAGAGATCTACCGCCGTATATCTGCTTTGGCACTGGAAGTCACTTCAGCACGAAGGCACTTAACGGTCACCGCTGGGTCGGTTCGGTAACTTCCAGCGGCAGTAGCAGCAGCCACAGCAGCGAGTCTGCTCTGAACTGCATGTGTGCATACGCACAACGTACATGCACCCAGCCTCACTACTGCAACAAACTCTGTCTCGTTCCACACCCCGCAGCAATGACTTAAAAACCTACAGACGAACCACGCGGCTCTTGGCGACCACCGACCTCAAGGAGGGAGTATGGAGACTCGTGAGCGATGGTGGTTGTTTGCCCCTCCTCCGCACGCTCGTTTTTCACCTCGTATTACGGACAGTCGTACGTATCTTGGGTCAACGAGAGATCCCGCTCAAAAAATACGGGGTAAAAAATTGAGCCTAGTGGAAGCAATCAATGGGAAAGGGTTCATCCAATGATGCTGATGATCTTTGTCGAATTCCCGGCCCGGTTGAGGCGGGTTCCCCCCTCATTCCCAGCATCGTTTTCCTCTATTAAACTAACTCTACTGGCTACCGATCGTGTATCGGGCCCTTGGAGGGCTTCCTGTGCCGTTTTCTCGGAGGAATTTTCGAAGGGGCTCGGACAATCGGCGAACATACACGTGTCCTCGGCGAGCCTCATACATCCCTCCTATGGTGTACAGACTCTAAGAAGGGAAACACGTCTGCAATATTCGCTATGATCCGAGAGGAAGCTCGTATTGCCCCGCGGTCACGCAAGAAGCGCCCTTGATGAGGGATTTGGGGTCTGACGCCTTATTCGCGCGCGAATACAGTCCCACCGCTCGTGCGTGAGGCGTGATGCGGCGTTCGTTCGATCCCTGCTGCCGACAAGATACCCGAGTACTTGCCCTTGTTCTTCCCGAGCACCTTTGCTCTCAGGTGTTGGAATGTGAACCACTCCATAGAAGCCGGACTCCAAAGTATGGCTGCGTAGTCCAACCTGGAAGAGTCAGATCCACTTTGGATCAGAACCGGCTAGACTGCCTAGGCAGAACCGGCTAGACCCAAGTTCGCGCAAATCCTCGTTTCAGTGAGGTTCGGTGCCGGACGGCTCTCATGATGAGGAACATCCAGGCATCAAGCTTTTAGGAGGATTGGGTTCGATCATCTGTGATAAAGCTACTCTGTAGTGATCCTCAGGCTATGCGCGGGGACTGGATCCGAGCCCGAATAAGACCTGTGCGCAGCGAGTTTCGCGCACTGATACCCACCAATCTGGAGAGTGCGATCCTCGATCGCTCCTTGGAAAAGTGATATCTTTCGAACAGTGTTCTTGCAGTATCCTCTTCCACGCGACTCCAAATCGGTATGCTAGGATAGTCCCGGCTCTGGCTGGCCGCCCGGCTTGAACTCACGCTGCTTTCGGAATGAACAGAAATAATGTATCTAGGAATCGCTCCCAACAGGATTTCCTCCCCGAAGGTTCGGGGTACTAGAGACTGTTCTGAGGATTAGGTGTCATGTCTGTGAACTCAAGCGACATTCCTCGAGATAGGCCAATGACTGACTGACAGTGGGGTTCTGTGGTGGACTGATTTGTTTTTATTCTCCAGGCTTCATTCCTCGATGAAGGCTCTACACAATTGATTTTCGCGGAATCTACTAGAGAGATCCAGGGATGTGTACTGGCTCGAAAACTAGGGTCGAAAGGAAGCGCACCAGGTGTCTGCTTCCTTGACTCATGACAGGTATGGAGTTCCCCTGAGTCGGTATCTTCATTCTGCCAGGTCGATATCGCGGAGAAAGTAATCTGAGTTCTGCGGGTCGCCATCCATGCCACATGATCGTCATTCGATCTGATCCAAGCATACTCTTCTCTCCGAGACTCATCGAGCTTGAACGTGAGATTAGAGGATACGCGGCAGGACTCTGTTCTCAGCTGGGGAGCTCGCTTGACACATCTTCATTTCCTTCAGCATCTGAAATCGAAGTCATGTGATATTCAAAATTCCAACCATCATTCCCAGATACTTGCATAATTGATTGGGCTCAATGACTCTACCTGCCGACGGGATCGATTCGGAGAAGAATGGAAGTCCTCCTGCCGGACTTCCGAAAGGATGTTTTTCTGAGCATCTGGGCATGCTCTTGGGACGCCCATCGATTCACGCTGGAGAGGAGATATCATAAGGCTATACCAGCATGAGTCTTTGGCAGAGAGCCTCTTTCGAGCATATGATGCACTTGTTTCCGAAGTCTTTCCGAAGAAATCTCCGCAATACTCACGGTTATGGGTTGATGTAGTAGAAGGGCCTTACCATACGCCCAAAACACGAGATCCGGCAAGGCGTCTTTGAAAAATAGCTTGTATACTGTTGAATTCAGGAGGATCCGCAAAGGCAGAAATCGTGACAACAAACGATGAGAGGATAGAATATCCGATGACTTCATGAATATGGTAGACGCTGGAGGTGAAGATCGAGTCAGAGCCGACCTGACGAACTCGACCGTGAAATCTCTGCAATCGTATTCGAAAGAAGATCCAGAGGCTTCATTGAGAATGCGGGCGCAAATATGGAATTCAGAAGAGTTCATTCGCTAAATATCCGCATACTCGGGACGAAGATGCTCGTTGACCAAAGCGTGGCTCAGAGCCGATATGGTCGAAGCAGCAGTGTGGAGCGCCGCTCCACCGAGAGTGACATTGATTGTTCTCCTAGAACAGCAATATTCTATGATGGATAACCATGAAGCGCTTGATCGGAATAAATTACGAGAAAGGGGCGTATACACGTACGCAGAGTTGGAGCTGGTTTTCGTTTCCACGTCTGTGATAAGCATCTGAATCTCTTCCGGAAGTTTTTCGAGATCCCCGAAAAAACGGAGTCGCACTCCGGCAATGCTCAGACGCTCTCTGGAAAAGGCTTCACCGTGGATTCTGTCTTCCTCGGAGCTCATGATATTGTGGGATACCCACAAAGGAAACGATCTGACTCACATGTACTCAAGGCAGCCCAAGAGAGCCCCCCGCAATCTCCGATAGATCTCTTGCATCTCGCTCCTATTTCTCGGTGGGAACCTCTGGAGAAGCTGAATAGTCACCTCTGCTGAGCCGGATTGCGTCGCTAGGGACAGCACGCGCCAGGCTATGTTAGCATCTGCTTCCACGACCTCTTCGGGTGACACTTCTCTGGGGATTGTTCGTCGGCATGAAAGGGTCTGACGGAAGATCATATCAATCCGGGCGGCATTGACGTAATGCCTGGATTCTTCCGGAGTCCAAGACCTCGGTCCTCATCAGTGCGTCCACCCACATTCCGTCTCGATGAGGATAGCGTTTCACTCACCTGTCGAAATCCTCCTGTGTGAGGTCCAACACGATGGAAACATTTTCCGGCTGCGCAGCGAAACGGAGTGTCGATAGAACGAGTCGTTCGATGAGCCCCACTCTGCGAAGAATAAGATTGACCTCGAAGAGGCGATCTCCTAAAACCGTCCACCACACCGCCGTGCGCGACCCCGCGATAACTCATCACTCATGGTTGATAAGTGATGACTTTTGATAAGGACCGAGCTTTGCTCGATGGAAAATCCATCGGTGTCTCCCGAACTATAACATGCTCTTTCCTGCTATATGCGCGTAGGTTTATATGCACGCTCGCCGACGAAATCGGCATCCCCGGAGTTCGCACCAGGCGCCACGTCCCCTGTCTAAGTCGGCACCGTTGCGCAGTAATACCGGAAAAACCTTAATCCCAGATCTTCAGCCTCAAACTCACTTGGATGATTCGAATGGAACTTCTTCACTCAGTTTCGAGTACTTGACGAAAGTATCTCTGAACAATTTGACGGCCATTGCGAAGTGAAGCGCTGAATGAACTCGCCTCGTCTGGTAGAGCTCCCACGTTTGATTTTCCTCTCCTTGTGATAGATTTCCTCATGCGTCGCTGTTCCGCTGTGACGTCATTCATATTCATGAACCACATGCGTTCATTGCTCTCCTCAAGGAAGTCCGAGCGGACTACTTCGAAGAGGCTCCCAAGTCCGGGTTTCCTCCCTTTCCGGATTTTTGGGAGTCCAGATGGACGATCTTGATCACCCACCCTCGATTGACCACAAGCGAAAGCTGGAGGCTAGTCTTTCAAGTCTCGAAGAGGAAGCCCGTGAGCGTATGATGGATTCGACATATGTATCAGACTCCTATGTGGGAATTCGACTTCAAAGTAATCTTTGAGCACTGTTCGAGGGAATTGCATTTTGTCGCATTAGGAACTCGCGGATGATCCAGCGAGCTAGATTCAAGCGGGGAAAAGATCATTGCCATGATTCCGCGGCAATGCACGACCTTCTTAACATGTTTGATTCGACAAGTTCCCTCAAAAAATATTGGAAGACTAGGAGATGATACAGAAGAGGTCTCCGTCCTGGACGCTCTGGACTGAATGTCTGGCCCACACTCCTTTCGTGATCCAGAGTGTTTTCCGCGCAGCCCAGAGAGCGTTCGTTCTCTAAATGACTTTTTGACGCTTCATAGTATGTATGGTAGTATGTCGGAATTCTCGAGCGAAGAGAACTCGACCAGATCAGCTTTGAATACCTTTGAGAATTCTCTACTCCCCTTACCCAGTGAGCATACTGACGAGGAGACGCGGAGGCTCTAACATCTTTGTCCCTCGTGTAATGTCGTCAAGATTGAGTGGGGATTCTTCCATCTTCTGAATCATCAGAGTATCAATTGCATTCATTTCTGGTAGCTGCTCAATGCTCAATTTTGATCGAAATTCTAGACTGCAGACACTTTGTCAGCATTGCGATTCTCGCGTGTTTATCTGCGGAACGATCTGGACCTTTATCACTTTGGTGAGATGATGCTGCATCCGAGTTATAGCCCATGGTGGAAGGGTCTCCATCGGCGAGCTCCGAGTCAGTAACCAAGATGAATTTACTACCGAGTAGGTAGTAGAAGAAGTTTCCGATACGTCAATAGTATTTGATCTATCGGAACTGCCGCGACGCTCGAACTCGACGATGGTGTGCGACCGGACATTCCGTTATGTCCAAGGATCGATGTGATGAGACGTGAGACGGTGGAGATGCCCCTCAGACTAGCAGCCGCCGGTGTGTCAAGCATACTTGCTCTCTCACTACCGAATATAACTGCGACGTTTCGCGAACTTATAACGCCCACCTTGGAATCGGCCCGAATTTCAACCTTCCCCCCTTGTTCGATGAGATGAACCCCATTCGTGTGGATCGCATCCTGTCACACTGGGATATCGAGGACGAATCAGCTAGCTTGAGTTGTTTGGCGAGCTTGATTATTTCCATCATTCCGGACTGTGGCACGATACTTCAAGGGAAAACGAATTCGATCGACCGAAAAATCTCGTGTTTAGCGGGACTAGCGATGAGGCTTTCGAGTCGATGATGCAGACTTTATTTGCCCCCCCCCCGCCAAAGAGATATACATGATGCGCTCAAATTATTATGATCAGCCAGTAAGCTCTGCCACAACTCCCGATACGATATTCTCGAGCAGTTTGGATCGCTGCAGCGCGGTGGCTAGTACTTCGTCGTGGTTTGCGTACTCTCTAGCTGCGTAATCGGAGACAGCTTTGTTCGAAATGAGCGAAAGTCCGATCACTCCGAGACCACAGTGTTTCGCTACGATGACTTCATGGCATGTGGACATTCCTGCGAAGAGAGATCAGTCAGGTCCGATCTGTAGAACATTCAGCTTCATTCGAGCGCCACCCGCATCCATGTTCCAGAATTATTGTTGTCGACTCACCGGCGCAGTCGCCTCCCAAGAGCTGAAGCATTCTGACCTCCGCGACGGTCTCGAAATTCGGTCCTCCGAGCATACAATAGACTCCTTCGCGCAAGAAGTCGCCCGCCCCCTTCTCGAGAGCAATCTTCCGAACCAATTCTCTCAATTCTACGCAGTAAGCCCCGTTCAGTGCTGGGAATCGCGGGCCCCACCTTTCATCGTTCACTCCACGGAGAGGGTGGTTCCCAGACAAGCCCGGGAAGTTAATGTGGTCTTTGATTATCATGATATCACCATTATTGAAGCTCGGATTCAGTCCTCCGGCGGCATTTGTCACTATGAGGTATTTGATGCCGCAGAGTTTCATCAGTCTGACGGGCATCGCGCACTTCCACATCGGATGTCCCTCGTAAGGATGAATTCGCCCCTTCATACAAACCACCGAGCGTCCCGACAGTTTGCCAAAGATTAACTGTCCGCTGTGGCCCTTGACTGTGCTACAGGGGAAGTTTGGAATCTCAGAATATGGAATTATATCGTTGTCCCCCAGAAGATCCGCCAGGGACGACAGGCCGGAGCCGCATATGATGCCAACCGTCGGACGATGCTTCGTACGAGTCATGAGCTGCTCCGCCATCCGCTCCTGGTAAGAATATTGGTTTCATGACGGAAAAGCCCCGAGAAGGCGCTGAACTGAGAATGTCCGATGCGGCCTTGTCTTCTTACCATTTCTTCATAAGGGGGTTCACTCTCGAAATCGTACATGTTCTCGCCGGAGACCTGGTACGGGAAGTTTGTCTCACTTGCGCCTCAGACACTCGAATCGGATTCCTTGATGACGTTCGGGGAAGCCACAGTGCGCTTTCGATGTCCTAGAGACTCGATAAAGGCCTAGAATGCTGCACTTCTAGTAGCGCGTTTCAAGCTGAACCTAAGCCTCTCGAGCTTATCGATCATGCGGATCTATCAATCAGCGACATCTCAGACTAGATGACAAGGTCTTCCTCGGCGACGAGATATAGAGCTTGCGGTAATCCCTGATCGACCTATCTAATCGTGACGGACGTCGCAGAAATTTCGATAAGGTGCCTGTCGCTTTCGGAGAGTAAACAAAGATAGGGATCGAATCACCACTATGGAAAGTTGACTCTTGCCCACCGCTCTCTCTTTATCCGAGATCATTCTCCCCGAGTATCGATTAAGTGAGATTTTCCGCTTGTTTTCCGCTTGCTACTCACCGTCGACGATCTAATAGGGTCAGAGGACGATCCTACCAGAAACTCCTGCACGCTCCCACTATAAACGGTCACGCGACACCTTCCGCGGCGAAATTTCCTGAACTACCTACACAGGGGAAAGCAGGCAGAACCGTCCCAAGGTTTTGCCGTGTAGGTACTTCCTCCTCGACAATTCAACACACCCAATCTGATCAGAGGAGAGTACATACTCGCAAAATCTGGGTGACAGAACTTCAATACGACCACCCAAGTGAATTCGATTAATTATTATCGAAACGCTGATGCGATCAACGAGGACCGAGAAAAAATATAATATTCTCAGAGTATAAAATATTCATTCTCCGGATGTGTCTTCAATGCTGGAGGTATCTATCTATACCCTCTGAGCAGCAATTTATTACAATTACTCATTCAAAGCCGATGATTCACCGGACAAGGAAAGTATATTGAATTCAGTAATCGTAGAAGAAGATATTGTATATATGGTATCTCTACATGCATGATGATTCCGGGCCATGAGTGCATTCTTCGAGTTCATTTGAGAGGCAGAAGGGAGCCTCACTTCGACATGTTTGTCTCGCTCTTCCTCGACCTCGTTTTTTCAGTACTCTCATCCGACTCTTCCGAGTCACTTGCATCCTCCACCACGCAGGAGTCACAGCCGGGGCAGACGTAGGTGCGATAGCGGGAAACCGCTCGCTTCGAGCGACAGCAAAGCTCACAGAAATTCGGATCGCCTTTCTTCACAACTGCAATTGTAATGGACGAAAAATCATTGAACGCTGTTTGAATCCTCTCGACTGGAACGAAGGTTCCACCGGAATCGCTTTACCATCAGAGTTAGCCACGACCAGAGTTGTCACCATGCAGATCCATAGCAGAGCTCGGAGCGGGGTCATCTTGCCAAGAGTGGTCTGCAGTGTGAACATCGAGGCAGCTGCTCGAACGTCACGTGCCAAGCGGAAAATGACGATAATCTGGCATTTACTGCGAACTTTCAATCAATATGAATTCGATTCATCGAGTCAAGATACTCGAAGCCCTGGCAACCGACCATCGTTAAACCCCCCGCCCCGTCCCGGAAGGATCATACGAGTGAGATCTCGCAAAGGATTCATGAGGGACACTTTTTCGCCATTCGAAGGAATCTCCAGCGATCGAGAAAGAGCGATAGCCGGCAACTCAGGGCGACACAACGGGCTCACTCCGAGTCAATGAGGCTTGCCATGGAGGTCCGGAAGCTTCCGTGAGCGGTACGCTGGTCCGGGAGTCATCCACGGAGTCCTGGAGACGGGCGCATCGATCGCCCGTCTCGACAGAGAGGCTAGGCAGGGATCATCGTCACAATCAGCTTCATCATGGTGTCTTTTCTTCAACTTCCCTCATGATCGAAATCCTTCGCTCCGAGCTCTCCGCTCGCATCCCGTGTCGTGATTCGGACAGGGATCGTTCCAGCGACCCACACATCGCAAGCCGAAGAAGTAAGATGCTCGTCTCAGAGAATATCGGCTTCAGGGCGGCGCGGCGGCGCCCTGGTCAGGGTTGCCAGCGGCGGGTCGGACGATCGACGCTAAAGCAGCGGAATATGGGATTGAGGCGTCGACAAAATTTCCGTGAATCGATGCCTCAAGACTCAATTATCTCAGTATTCTGAGCTCTGCTGCTTGGAGGAAACGATACCCGGATCCCCGAAGCTCGCCGACTGTCAGCGGGATGACATGATCCCTGGAGCAGAGAAGGAGCCCCGCGCTTCAGCGGGCTGTGTCCGCTCTGGTGTGAGTGTCTCGTGTGCGTGTCTGCAAGAAGTGTAAACCAGCTAAGTCAGTGAGAAAACTGTATACCGCCATCTACCCTCGACAGCCATCAATAGAGTTGCCTCCGGAGTGTGCAGGACCTGATCTGGAAGCTGCTTATTTACCCCGAAATCAGCGATGGCGGGTATTGCTTATCAACGTCTCACCGAAGAACGCAAAGCTTGGCGAAAGGAACATCCCTTTGGTTTCGTTGCGAAGCCGTCGAAGGGCGCCGATGGCCTACCGAACTTGATGGTTTGGGATTGCGCTATACCTGGGAAGACCGGTAAGTCTACCCGGTCAATGAATGAGATCGTGGAGCGGTACTGAGTGATCTCGACGGCATCTTTCTTCATATATCAGCTTGTCATCCCGCTGGCATCGTGCTGTCAGTCTCGTAGGCCGAAGCGGCCCCATTCCTCGAGCCCCCTCAGCTCCGAGCAGTTCAATGCCAGAAGCTGTTCCCCAGCTCATTCTTACAGCCCGATCAAGTTCCCTGGAATCGTCTGAACATTGCTTCACAAAAACTAGTCGAGGAAAATTAGGCATCGCGGCAATCGTGTTGATCCTGTACTACCAGGAGCGTACATTGCCTAATCAGGAGCCGACTGAACTTCCAGGAACCCCATGGGAGAAAGGACTCTATAAACTCCGCATGACTTTCAAGGATGATTATCCTTCAACTCCCCCGAAATGCAAATTCGACCCTCCTCTATTCCATCCCAATGTTTATCCCTCTGGAACGGTCTGCCTCTCCCTCCTGGATGAAGAAAAGGACTGGAGACCATCCATTACGATCAAACAGATTCTCGTCGGGATCCAGGTTTGTATTGGGCGAAGCTGGGGAGTATAAGAAGAATGAGCTTAACTCAATGCTCATGCCATAACCAATCACAAAGACGTATCATCGCTGAAAAATACACGGAATCTTTGGTTCCCGAAACGGAATGCTCCAACCCGAGCGATTCAACACAGAGATAATCTCGTGTTCTATTCCCGTAGGACTTGTTGAATGATCCGAACATCAAGGACCCTGCGCAGGCGGAGGCTTATACCATCTTCTGTCAAAATAAAATGGAGTACGAGCGCCGCGTCAGAGCCCAATCGGAGAGAATGGCCCCCACTGCTTAGGGTTTAAGCAGCGGAGAGCATCAACCTGGAAATCAACATCCCAAATAAGCTCGGCTCAATCAGAGGAATCGACGGCTTCGAAATGTTCCCCAGCAGAGAGATACCGACATCGATGTGTACATTTGTAAACTTTATGAATACAGGCGGCCGAAAACCGGAGCTCCCTCCTCCCTCCATCGTTCGGAATGAAGCATTACGACTTTCAGAAATGGTCACGGGACTCTCTGCCGGAAAGTGATGGCGTATACGAAATTGAAGTAAATCTCAAGCGGAAGATTTTAGTATAACCGAACACCAAGAGGGTCCTAGTTTTTTTATGCGTTTCATTCCTTGATCTCAGTGACGGAAAGCCGTTGTCTAGCGCTCACCACGGGGAGGGAATGGAGGACCTTCCCCGGGGATGGAGATCACGTGTCTTTACAATACGGATTGAGTCCCTCCGAGGGTGTTATCGACGCGCAGAATAGCGTAAATACCTACCTAGCGAAACACCGACATCCGAATTCCCCCTCCGCCGCATTCCCCTCAAGAGAATGCGCGACAAGATCTTAACGCAATCAGGCGCTGGGAGAAGCTGCCCTTTCTCGCTCCCTAAAGGTATGACTCTTCGGTATGAGGTAGTGTGTGGAAGAGCCTGTGATCCACTGACTCTGAATATTCCACTGGGTCCCCACTCACAGACCCCCATGAGGAAGGAATTGACCTCGAGCGCAGTTCCTCCGCATCAATATGAGCGGTTTCCAATAATTGGGGAAGGATGATGTTCGGCTCCAATTTCGCGGGCGAAGAGGACTCGTAGGAGAGCATACTGCCGGGGATTCCTACTGCGGAGACGGCGAGATGATCGGCATGCTGCGGCAAGGCCAGCCGCATTCGTCGCGAGTCGCGACCCACAGCAGGTCATTATTATTGAAGCGCGTGGGAAAATGATAGTAATTCGAATAGGTATATTATGTGCACAGGCGTACCGGATGGCCATGGACTCGGGAGATCGGCGGCTGCAAAATCAAAACGAGTCACCATTTATATCCACAGATTCAATCCCATCTAGCCCCTAATTCCAAAACTGGTCACGACCGAGCGCCCAGAGAGACAACGACTTCAGAGATTCGAAGCCTTGACTCCCGCCTACGAAAATTCCCCCTCACTACGACGAATTTCGCAAATGATATTCCGATGCTAAGTTAAGACAGTCTCGATCGACCTCGGAGAATCCAACCGCCGGCGCCGCTCCATGCGAACAGCGTCTGTCTTTTTTTTCAAGAGGCATTTCTCCGAGACACATAAGTCCCTGTCTATCTATCGCTGGAGATTCACGCTCGTAGGTCAGGTAGTCCATCCCGCGAATCCCGAGCATGAGCCTCGAGAGGAAACCCCGTCTCTCGATCGAAAACTGGGGCTCGAAGTGACCCTCAATGAGACGAATGAGACGGGTACTTGGGTCCAATCATGGAAATCTACCGAGTCGACATCATGTGCTCCGACTCCATGGGCTAGCCTCGATTGTCGAAAGTTGGTGTGCAGCCATTCGTCCCGCCACAAGTGCTGTGTCGGGGGTGAATGCTGTCCCCATAGCAACGCTGTCCTGCGGATCGGTTGCTGTTGGGCAGCCTAACTGGCAAACTCCTGCGTGGTCCGCGCAGTCTGGGCTTGAACTCGTGCACAGCGTCAGCCATCGAAATATCGCAGCCTCCGTGGCAAAGCGAGAAGCACGATACAATGGAAGAAAGTGCTTCTAGAGGTGTTTCCGAGCCGGTCCTCCAAGCTGATCGTTGGCTGACAGCATACCACGATCGATTCGCCGGCTTCAACACTGTGACTCCGAACATCTGCTCGGCCGATCTATTCGCTGATGGAGACAACAAATTGCTCATAGCCGATATGGGAGCGGAATGGGGGAAAAATATGCAGCTTAGAGTGTACAAGGGGACCAGTCTGCTATCCGAGCACACATTGGTGGACCTGCCGCTCGCCATAGCCCCATTCTACATGAATCTGCCTGGACCCAAAACACCTGCGATCGCCGTGGCGTCTGGAAGCTCAATCTACGTGTACCGTAACATGCGGCCCTTTTACAAGTATACGCTGCCAGCATTGAAAGTGGCCGAAGCCGAGCTCGAAGCCTGGAATATGGTTCTGCAAGAGGGTTCCGATCTGAACGTGTTCAGAGATCTGCTCGTCAACGTTCTGGCGAGCGGGGAGTCGCTGTCAGCGAAATCGGAACATTTCCTGACGACGTCGACAATGAGCGAGGCTGAGACGTTTGTCCGAACCTACGGTGATTCGCCCCTTCGGCGCCAGACAGTCCTGACAACGCTGTCCGCCATGAAGAAATCGATGCATGAAGAAGATGCGCTCACGTGTATTGTCCTCGGAACTGAGAACAAAGACATTTATATTCTCGAGCCGGACGCCTTCACCGTGCTGACATCCATGGTAGTGCCCTCCATACCAGTCATGATGGACATCACAGGTCTATTCGATGTCGACTATCGCATTTTGGTCGCATGTCGAGACGGCTGCATATACAGTCTGAAACGAGGTCAGAAATCCGCTAAGCTCTGCATCGAATTGCACAGTCAGGCGGTCGGGATTTGCGCTCGGCCGTCGTTGGGCTGTGTCTATGTCGGCTGTATGGACCGCAGTCTACGGTGCTATTCAACGCAAGGAAAAGGGCCAAACAAATACGCTCAGCTGTGGACGATCTCCCTGGACCATGCTATAGTGGCCATGCAGTCGGTTACGATCAAAACCCTCGGCCTTGAGCTTGTCGCAGTGTGTTGTCAGGATTCGAAAATCTACTTCCATAAAGAAAAAGCTGTTGTAGACATCGTGGATACCGGCGCTCCGGTCACCGCGGTAAGGTTCGGTAGATTCGGTCGTGAAGATAACGCCCTGGTTTTCGTGACCAAATCCGGTGCCTTAACAGTCAAGATTTTACGACGGAATCAAACATTTGACACTATAGGCTCGCTAGAGAGCAGCAAATCTGCTCCGGCAATCACCGCGGGGAACAAATTCATCATTCCGAAGAAAACAAAACTTTTCGTCGATCAAACCATGCGGGAACGTGAGAGCGCTTCTATCATGCATCGCGTTTTCCAACAAGATTTTCATCGCATCAGACTCATCGCTGCGCGGCACTATCTGAACACGATGCAGACTACGGGGAATACACAAGTGCGGGGATTCAATGGAGCGGACGAAACCAAAATCCCCGAAGTTAGAATTACTGCGAGAGTTCAAGGTCTTGGACCCGAATTCGCGCTGATCATCACGTTATCCTGTTCGGAAAACACTTTTCCGCCCCTGAGGAATCTTTTGGTAGCCTACTCGTACGACTCAAGTATTTATCGTTGTGAAAGGGCGTACCGATGTGTACCATACCTACCACCCGGTCTGCCTACCTCGGTGAGCATCCGCGTAACGTGCGTCAGCGAACTTTGCGTTAGCGACACACTGAAGGTGATTGTGGCTCTCAAAGACTGCAGTTCCCCGATAGTGACCGCTCTCATCAGCATGCCGGTCGCTCAGTCGGTCTGAAGCCTCACTCGAGGGTGCTTGACGTAATTATTGTAAAGCTAATAAAACGAGTCGAATATTTCCGATGACGGGACTGTCATCGTACTTCGGGGGAGAATGCTTAAGACGAGAGCGCTCGGTTTATCGTTCGGTAGAGCGGAGCGGCATGACTCTAGCTCCAGAGAAAGGGGAGGCTGCCTCGATAGAGAGATATGTGTATTGTTTCAACGAAAAGTAACGAGTCAGTCGAAGGATAATTTGATAACCCTCCAGCACTTATCGTCAATCCCACCGATTGGCCGGAGATTCAATCCGATTTGACGGCAACGTTCCCTCCCGGGAGGCTCGATCTCGATGACGAGTCGATCTCAGAGAGCCTGAAAGATTCCACGGTGGGTCAGGTAGGGTAGCGATAGGGTGTCCCGGCCCGTAAGGAGTCGGCATGGTCTCAAGCGAGCACCGAGATGCCGGGACCCGTTACATTCCTAGGGGGAGCAGGTTTTGCGAGGAGAGATCTTCCCTACCGCGTTCAGAAAGAGAAGTACATAGGTTTGTGATTAACGGACGAGCGGCTGGAAGTATGTATGAGTCGGAGATTCGCAGGTCCTTTGAGGAACTCAAGATTGCTTCCAAAATCCTTATCGGCATATCGTGAGTCATGTCAGGAGGCTCATACCGAGCAGATCCTCGAACGTTTCGGAATGACGAAGTCGAATACGGCGTCGACACCAACTGTCGCAGGTGAGACCGAGGACGTAGAGGACTTTCCAGCGAAGCTTCCGTACCGTGAGGCCTTAGGCTGTCTCATATTTCTTCGGGCTCGACGTTGCCCTCGCCGTGCGTGGGGCTGCCAGGATTCCGGGGAAACCAAGAACGTTTTATTGGCTTTAAGTATGAAGCGCACATGCAGCTGTGTGTAAGAGGTAACCGATGAGACCGTTGTCGTATACAGCAAACGTCATGGTAGCGAGTTTAAGAACGTTGAGCGTCGAAGAGTCCTCTCTATGCTGGAAAGAGTCGACCCGAAATTGGTAGAAGTCGGGAGAGCTGTCTCTTGGGGTTGTCAGCTCCAGGGGACGGAGATTCTGTCGACTACGGAGATTCCCTTTGGTTGTAGGTGCTCCGCCGGAGCTTCATGTCGGAAATTCTAGTGCGGTCAGGCTGCGCCTTCTGGACCTTGAGTATCTTGTAAGGTCAAAACGCATTCAATATCGGCATTTCTTCGTAAGAGAGAAAGAGCTTGCGGATGAGCTGAGACTTACAATAAAAGACTCCGCGGGTCAGGGTCGGGTCGCAGATCTTCTCACTGAGCCTCCGCATCGTACCAGGCTTCGCTGATTGCAAAAAAAGTTCAGGTTCGAAATGCTCAGGGAATCCAGAAGTCGGCATGTGAGAAACGGCTCAGCAGCAGCGGCCTTCCACGGGAATCGCCGATAGAGGAAGATCTTCCCGAGGGCAACATACGGATGGGCACGATGCACACCAAGGAGTTACGTCATACTTGGTTTGAGACCGAAATAGACGTGTCTTTGCTTGTATCCAATTCGTCCAAGCTCGTCCAATTCTCATGTCTTTCCGTAGGAACCTCGGGCATGATTGACGAGTGGCGCTGGACCTTACGGAACCTATATGAGATTGGGGGTCATCCAAGCTCCGATGCACAATGGGGGAAAAGCTCTGTTGACCTAGCCCATCTTCTGATATCCGAGTAGATCTTCTGTCAACGAGGGAGAGACCTTCAGCGCTACCGATCCCCATTTTCTTAGGTGGCCCACGTAGCCCAACTTCCCATCGCCTTTCACAGAGCTGGAACGGCTTCAGACACGTGATTGACTCTGCTGCGTTGTGCCCCAACAGAGCCCTACTTTCGCCCGAACAGAGTTTCCGGCCAGGATCGATTTCGAATCTGGTGGGGAGATCCCCTCGATGGAATAATGACCTCCAGCCATCGTCCAAAAGTGTCACTTACGGGGGTCGCTTGTAATCCTCTTTCTCTTTGAGCTCATTCGGACCAGCTCCTCCTTATCTTGAGGTTCAGTAGGCTCTCAACGAGAGCAAGAATCTCAAAAATAACCCGGGAAATCTTATCGTTGGCGTACAAACAAGATTTCCCTGAGGGTGAATGGGAATTTCGTCTCTATCCGGAGCTGTTTGGAGTCGTTTGAAGAGTTTGTTCCGTGTCCCCCGATGCGGTCGAATTCCCGCTCGCGCTCTCATTGCAGGTTGGTGTATGTGAACATAGTACTTGTATACACATCAACTATACCGGCGATCGCATCAGCATATTCGAATTCCCGCGCCAAGAATAGCGGTACCCGAAGGATCTCTCGTTTCGAATCACAGTCCGCCGCAAAGGAACCACAGTACCACATCTACCATCATTCTCGTCTAGGGGCACTGCTGTAAGAGCAGTAGTCCGGTTACAGTGCGATAGTGATGATGATGTGATGTCAGTGTAGTAATCGCTCCAAGTGGGAAAAGTGATCCAGGAATTCGCGGCTTGGCGGCGTAGAACACCCGTCCGAACCTCGTCAGGGAGAGCTTGCCGCCATGCTTCTTGACATGTCGTCGAACAGCCATCATGAGCAGCACGACCGAAGAGTGCGTCAAATCAACGTCGATTTCCGAGGCTGCAAGCTTCTCACGGATGAGGAGAATCAAACCCTGAGACATGTCTGCGACTCGAACAATTATCAGGTGAGAGATTTTCCTATATACGCAGTGCAGAACGAGTGAGCCTATGAAGGGCTTCCGTAATTTCGCATAAAGCTCTCGGAAGTCATGTGTGATCCAGAGTCATCAGCTCGGAAGGCTCGAGCAAGGATCCGTGGTAGAAAATCATGGAGAACGTTCTCGACTCTTGAGCTCTGGACGAAGTTCCCAGCCAAAGAACCGAGCGACGAAATCCTTGGGCCTTAGATTCTCCCACATGGCTTTATAGCAGAGATCAAGTACTTTCGCCAACTGTGACTGAGGAAACTTGGTGACTGGCGACGGCGGTGACGTCTCTTCGTGAGTTGGGAAGCGAGAGGAGCTCCATGATCGCAGCAGACAGATTGAGCTGGTGAACGGTTTGATCTAAGAAGCAATGTTCCAACCCCGTCTCTTCCTTGTGCCACGGACTCGTTTGCCATTGGGATGGTTGAAGAGGCTAGGACGAATTCGCGGCAACTCCCGTGGCGTGACATGACCGAGCAGTCACCGTCACCGAGCCGGTCACTCTGTTTGTAGACCATTCACTCACTGACTCGCCAACGTCGGTGCAAAATGGCAGAGACGATTCCGAAATCGGTTCCTCGCGATACCAATATGTGTACAGATTATTACATTCATAAAGATATATCGAGAGTAGTCCAATGACGGACTTCGGTAGTGAAGCCGATGAATAAGTGCGTCTGAGACTTGGGGTCGTGCCTCTGGTCGACCACGACCCCGTTTGATTTTCGCCGGAGCCGTCTCTTGCGGCTGTGCAGTATTCTTTGCAGGTCGGAAGCAGAGAGATGAAAAATTGCGGTCTGCTCTTCATATTCTCGATCGGGACACCCATGCCTCGCTTGCGGACGGAGTCATGTCGCATCCACAGACATTTCGACTCGAACCAACAGCACCGCCCGTCAGTTTCATCTTATATCCAACATCTTCGCCGATGAGGTGTTCCGAGAGATATATGTACACTTGTGTGGTGTGGAGAAGTCGAGACCGGAATGAAGTCTCCTCCGGAATGAATCACCCGTTGCCCCTCGGGAAGTGTCAGGCGGTCGATTGAGCAGTAGTATCGTTTTCGAAAGCAGACCGCAGATCTTTTGGCGAAATCCATCGCCGACGTCGATGCCTTTCGCGGGTTCTGAGTGGGCGTTATCAAGAACAATAATCGTAAGAGCCTGCGGAATTAGTGGATGTTGTCACTTCATTCGCAATCATGTTGCCTGCTCTATTTGAGCGCTGAATGGAATCGGTGCTTCCAGGGGACTGGGTCGCCACACAGGAAGTTCCCTGCATTCACGATTCTGCTCATGTCTGGGCGAGCGCGTGAGGCTCGAGGCTTGGTCTGCCAAAAATAAGGAATTCAACTCGACTGGGCTGCGCGTTGCCCCTCATGGGCGTCGAGATGTGGAGATGGAATCATAGGGTTGGAGCTGGGATCGAGTCCTCAGTTCCTCAGACCCAATATTCAGTCGGCGCGCAACGCTTAATTGGATATCGATGGGTATTCACCCTCGGATCTAGACCCATGCCTCCCTGTCATTCGCACCAGCTTGGACATCGATATGTTTCGGCTTCGCTCCGCTAAGTTTGCGAATTGGTGCCGTAGACTGACGATAGGCTTGACTGACCCCTCGCTAATATAAGACCTCCAAGGTTGGTGTCTGCTGATGCGATTTGAGCGGCATTTCGAGGTCCTAATGGATGAGTTGCCACTTTAGATGCGGACGGTGCTCCGGGGACTTGGAGACACAACGGTCGCTGCTATTGGAAAATACTCGTCTGCAGGGCTTCAGGGAAAGTCAGCGGCCTACAAGGGATCCTCGTCGCGATATCACTAGTCATGAGCAATTCGTTGGCTAGAGATCACCAGACGAGCCGAAATTTGGAGAAAATTTCGAGTCACTAACATTGAAATCTCTCATCTGTGTTTCCAGATCAAAGCTGCGGGCGTCGCTCAGCTGTATTGTAGCGCTCCTTCTGTCCCGCGGGGCGGACACGATCACTGGGATTTGAAAAAAGTTGGCGTTGTTTGTTTCATAAAAGATAATGCGGCCAAGGGGTTTTTCATCCGTCTCTTCGACATGGATGAGAGGAAATTCGTTTGGCAGCAAGAGTTATACATAGAGATCGAATATGAAGTGAAAATGCCCTATTTTCATGTCTTCGAGGCAGACGTGAGTATGGAGAAACAAAGCGATCCCTGATATTCGCCGACAGAATCGCGATCTCGCTCGAATTACGATCTGCGCTCGCGGAACTTCCTGTACGAGTGAATTTTTTGCTATTTTGCAGCACTGCATGGCTGGCTTGAACTTTTCCAATGAGGACGAAGCAAACGCGTTCAGAGACGCTATCGTTCACAAGATCGACCTTCGTCGGGCTCGTATCGAGGGTGAGTCTACCGGATCTATTCTCGCTCTTGTCCGGAGACGGTGCCATCGACATCTCCGCCGCGGACTCCGATGTCACTTCGAGTCTCATTATCCTCTCCGCTTTCAGAGAAAATGCGAGCGAATGCCAACTTCCCCTCCGGACCGCGGGCTCGGTCCGATTCTCATATGAACAACAACTTCAGCCACAACAATAACAACAACTCGATCAACAATGCGAACAACACTCCAGTACTAACGAAAGAAATTAAGAGGCTCAAGAGAGAGAAGAAGAAGAAGCTTTCCAAGATTGATATCAGCCAACCAACCAATTTCGTCCATCTTGAGCATGTGGGCCTGGAGATGGTCCCTGGAGCTGTGTCAAATAGGGTTCGTTTATCAGATCCGAATGCTCGGGGAGCGCTAACTCTTCTCGTGATACCCGTCGAGAAAGTCCATATGATCAGAAAGCCACTTGGTAGTATTTGAATCGCTGGCACGTGGAATGAACTCCTCCTCCCCCATTGAATTTAGGGCTTCGATGACAGCAAGTTCTACGACTTGGAGCCGAACCAGTACGAACGTGCAGGCATTTCAAGACAACAAATGGAAGACCCCGCTGTTCGTCGAGATGTCCAGAAAGTGATAGAACACCTTGTGAACAGCAAGAAAATTAGCACAGACACGCTCAACGCAATCACACGACGACCCCCGCCTCCGCCAGCGAGGGTTGATAGTAAACCAGCGGCTCCCCTTCCTTCCACTCGACCGCCCACGAGGGAGCTTCCTCCGGTTCCCGCGCATGCCAACGGGTGAGAGCACCGGTCTCCCTTGTCCGTTTCTCTTTCGTATGAGAAAATCGAGATTCTCCCCGGGGTAGAAACGTTCTTGATATGCTGACATCTTTCAGGAGGTCATCGGCCCCCCGAAACCTAGCCGGGTTCCGCCCTCAGTCTCACATAAACCTCCGCCCCCTATTCCTGTGCAACAGCAGCAGATGCAGGCGGTTCAGCCGGTGCGACTTCCACAACCACCTCCGCCACCGCCTGGATCGGGTGTCGCACCTCTCCCATCAGGTTCGGTCGCCGCACCTCCTCCCCCACCGCCCCCACCGCCCCCGCCGGTCATTATGTCTTGCCCACCGATGCCGAATCTGAACGGTGGAGGTGGTGCCGTGAAGAGCTCGGGTGGCAGTGATGGGAGTGGAGGAGGTGGTGATTCGAGGAACGCGCTCCTAGAACAGATTCGTAAAGGCAGATCATTGAAACCTGTTGAAAACGATAAAGGTAATTTCCAGGAATCACGGGAAGCTCAATTAGGCGGTGTAGAGCTTTCGGATGATGAGTCAATAACATGATTCCGTTTGCAGCCTCCAATTCGACACCTGCAAGCGGTGACGGACGAGATGCTTTGTTAGAGCAAATTCGTGCCGGAAAGAATCTACGACCCGTGGCTAGCCGAGCCCAGCGACCAGACGTCCCGAACAACGAGAAGTTCAAGAAAGAAGTCAATGTTCTCACCGATGCTCTCGCCCGAGCAATGGAGTTGAGATGCAAAGCAACTCAATGTGAGTGAAATTGACTGAAAGTAGTATCATTGATGATAACGATACGCTGTCGCCATTATTCGCCACCTGTCCTCCGAAGCGAGGGAAGAGTACTTTCCGACCAAATCAATGATTTTCGATTCTCCTCGCCAGCCGACGACAGTGAAACTTCGGATAGCGATGCATTGGACGACGAGGAGTGGGACGACTAGTATGCTGCAGGCCCGACGCTCACGGTTCTTCAAGGAGTGCGTGTACCGCTGGTTTCCCCGACACGCAAGAGAGGCGCTTCTCGCTCACCCTCTAACCATTCTGCTTCAACGTCATGCTCTCCTTCTCCTATCTCCCGACCGACATCGGCTCCTATCCCGCCGGGCGCGACGCCCACACCCCACTTGCAGGCCACGGCTCTCTCCCGGAGCCAGAAATAATTTATTACATGCGGAGAGACAATGGTAATTGGATGATCAAAAGTAGCTCACTCGGTACGACGACGCGCGGCTCACAGTAGGCGCTCGCACCGAGAGACGTCCGAAAGGGGAAATAAACGGTATCCTCATCGTTGAGGTGCCGCTTTTTTCGTTCGCCAATTTTCTGAGAGAGACAGCGGGTCGGACATCTCTGTTCCGATCCTCGTTGTCTGGTGACTCCGTGATGCTGAGGATATGGATTGACATTCGTGTGCTCGGTCCGATACGGATTCCCGAAGTTGGTGTATCGTAGTTCCCGGTCGCTACATCATTGACCATTGCCAAAAATGTACAGTGCGCCGATATAGAGCTTTGTGTCACAGAGCGTCTGCCGATAGCAATGTGTGTATAGAGTCTCTGGTTGATCCTTGCTGGTTGGCGTTCGAGAGAGTGCAATACTTCTTACATGTGCGCAGGAGATATATATATATATATTACATAATGTGTTAATCAGATCGATCCGTACACAGATAGGCGATCGAACTAGCGACTGATCGCCGCGCGGAGGAATCATCTGTTTGAGATGAATGCAGCGTCAGGATTGTTCCTGTCCGCTTCATGTTCCACAGAGCCATGCTTCATCGAATCGTTATGCGGGGAGATCCCTGACGGCGCGCACGGCCTCAGCAGCGAAAATTTTGATTTGGAGCTTGAAATGGGTTCTCGAGCCTGGTGATCCGACCCTTCCTGCAAACTCCTGCATTTCGAGCACTAACCAGTCGTCTGACTGATCGTGGGAAGCTTGTCGGGGTCCTGTCCCTGCTTATCCGAGTGTATAAAGTAAATATATTTTAGCTATCGAATTCCTTGCGTGGATAAGCTGTGCTTCATTGACGTTACAAATGGAATAAAATTACCGGAGAGTCTGGAAGTCGGGACGATTTCTTTTTCCTGGATGAGAACAAGTCCCGAGCGATCGACCAGCTACGAATCCATTCAGTCCACCACGGAATTCCGAATACGACGAGGGAAAGAAGGGGCGGTATTCGGAGGGAGCTAATCAAGAGTTTTTCCCTCGAGGAAATCATTGCTCAGGATTCGGGGAAGCTCTTAAGGGCCAAGAACTCAGACTAGAAAAAAAGACGAAGGTTCAATCATGAGCTGGACCCATAACACGCCGAAATACGTGTGTCCGATCGGAGAGAGGAAACTGGTATTCAAAAGCGGTCGTAGAAGTGGTCGTTCCGAACAAGGGAACTGCCTCGAGTTTCACCCTGAAGAAAACGGATTTAGTTATTCTACTCTGGTCGCGTCGACACCGAATTTCGGCGATGAAATACGATGTATGATTCATGTTCGATTGATGCGAAAGGAGCGGTAGAGAGGGCTGCATCGATGACAAGATTCTTATCGGAACTCGAGTTCAAGAAACTTAGCAGCTTTCCTCCGCGGATCGCGTCTTTCAGTTGCTCATTCCACTTGACGTCGCTGCGAGAAATCATTGGTCCTCTTCTCCGAAGTTCTCGAACGAGTGGAACTATTGCCGATGTCCCATGATGAAGAGCCCTTTGATCGCCGTGAGACTTGACCCAGGACTGATGTACCTATAAAGGTACAGAACGAGAGAACAAAAACAAAGGATGTAGTCTGAGAAATATGGCATTTTCCGTTACCTGAACCTCGCCTCTCAAGGTCACCGTCGCCAGCATCAAGGTATCCCGGTTTCGATTCCCAGGATCGGTCGATGCTCTCAATTCGAAAAACTGAGGTCATCGATCAACGATACACACAGGTGGGTCTTGATAATGGGAATATGAAGGAAAAGCGGAAAATATTCAAAAGCAAAGGCTGCCTCGCCGAACCGCCGCTGCTCGATGAGAATATTATGGCCTCCATAATTTACACTGGCGAGGCGGACAATAATGTTAACATGATGATCTCAGTGAGAGTGAGCCGTCAGACGGTCATTCGGACCACCAGTCCACCTCTGGTCCAGACCGTATGACCGTCACCAGACCACCACACTAGTCATACGGTATGGGCGAAGCCTAAATGACACGTCGATGCTGGGTATCGTCAGTTCATTGAGAGCCAGGGCGATCGAATCGACTTCTCCGGGCTGCGATTTCAGTCTCGTGACCATCGCGAAGCATTTCACTGGGGGTATGGCTTACAATGAGACGCGCAAGCTGGCGAGGAACCTCCTTGACTCCGAAACTTCTTCCGCGTCGAGAAATAAGCATGACCGAGAGGAGCGACATACGAACCAAGTCGGGAATCATGCAAGATGAATACAGACGAGGAAGGATAGCTCACGGCACCTTCGGTTCCGAGTTCCGAGTCCCGTGTATGATATGGAGCCGGTGGGATCCCATTCGGGCGTGCTCGCCTTCAGGCACACCTGTAGACCATTCCCGGATGATGCACAAGCCCATAGATGCACACGCCAGATTCCACCACGGTGCGTCAGTCTTGGTTTGTTGAGGGTGTCGGAGAAACAGAGCTGGGACGATGAGAGCGCGGAAAATCAGACAGCGAATCGTGCGAGAAGACAGAGCCTTTCCGGAGGTGTGGGTGCGAAACTTGAGCTCGCGGTCGAGGAACACTCCCAATTCCTAGAGCTCTGCGACCCCTACCTGGATTGAGGAGTTGCATGGAGTGTAGCTTCGACATAGCGCGGTCTGCTTAAAAGAGCGTTTTCTTAAGAGCCCGGAGCCACCCGCTGACATATGCTCGCTCAGTGGAAAGCAAGCTCCAAGCCGCATCGCCGGACATGTGAAGCTATCCTCGTCGCTAGCAATGAATTCTGACTTTATGTACGGTGGGTTCCCGAATTAAAAAGACCTCGAGGGAGAGGCAAAAAGCGTCCTCCATGAGCGAGAGTCCACCATGTCGAAAAATAGTCGGGGTGTCATGACCGGGGATATTGGCCCACAATAAACGAAGTCCTTCGTGAGCGAGTCCTCTATGGCGGCATTACACCGAAATATGTCTTGTATTATCTGCGCCCAAGTCCGGCACGATTGTGCCACGCCATTCTGGAATGCTCTGATGTCTGTTTCGGAATATCAGGCCCTCCGCATGTCAGTCCCGGATTCCGGCGTTCTGGCTGATTTGAGACCACGGCAAGTCATTGCCGGGGGTGAGCTACAGAGTGTCCGATAGCCACACAGGCTGGGGAAGATTGATCCACCATGGTCTCTCTCATTGATGGATCACATCGCTGCGGGCTCTGAGGCTCATATCATGCGGTCAACCACAGACTAACCGCTAGCTGTTGCAAAGGATCTCCATCCGGAATCGTCTGGACTGGCTCGCTTTAGTCGATATACTAACACTTCGCAAGCGATCCAGCGCGAGCTCGAGGTCTCCGGGCCTGCTTGCGAGATACGAAAGATCCGTCGCTCTGCCGAGGCGAGGGTGCCTTGACAGCTTCTTCCCTGGAAAAACGCATGGGGCGGTCTGTGCAAGGCCAGCGCGGCGGTTTCGGCGCGAGCCTGGCAAGCCCAGCTCGAGCTCGGTGGCGACGCTCGGCGGGATTACAGAATTGATCATCATCACAGAATTCCCTCTGTAGGCGTATTGAGGTCGCTTAGCATGCCGTCCCATGTCGGCCGCCATACAGCATCCGATGCCACCCTAGGGAGCAAGGCGCAGGTCCAGCTGAATGCCGCCGAAGCGCCCTCGCCCAAGTTGATATTGTCAGCTTTGATGTCAGAGATTCGTTATGCTGCCTCTGAAGCCGTCCCATCATTCCATTTTTCCTGCGGGTAGCACGAAGTCATTCGATGTTCCCCGTGCCAGGGGCCTCTTCGATAATAACTCGCAGTGTATTAATAATTTGGTTAAAGGTGCCTTTTTTTACGTGCTGAATGGTGATATGGGGAGAAACTCCGAAACGCCGAGCTTATTCGTGGAAGACGAGACAGCGCGAGCACATGGTCCCGCAGATCCATCTCTGCGAGAGAGCTTTGATCATCTACCTCAACGCCACAGCCCGCAGCCTTCATTTGAGAAAGAAAGCGAGCTTTTTGAGGACTCGCATGCTCTGTCTCTTTTCAGCAAAGATCATCGTCATCAAGATGATTTCCGTGGAACGAGTCCCGTCTCCACGTCCACCAGAATACAATTGCGATTCGCTTACGTCTAAATTAGTGACCTGTCATTATCTCTGTCTGTCCTCCTTAGCTGCGGGACGCTCGCGGTACCTTCCACCTCCCTGAGGAGCCCGTGCCCCCACCGGTACTAAAATATTGCATGTCTGCTGCTGTTACGACGACTGACAACAAAATACATACGGCTCTCTCAGCAGCAACACCACAAGCACAAATTACCAGGTGGCTGGACGCTTAGCTGTACGCATTCTGGCGGCATCGGCGAGCATACGTGGGCACCTGCGGATAGACGTGATAGGCCCTGCGAGCCAATTAGGAACCCTGTTCGCCCCCCGAGAAGGAGAACCGCATCGTTTTCGACGAAGCCGATATAGTCTCGTCCTCGACAATCACATGCAGAAACGACAACAACGGGAAAGTTTCGGTGATCCGCGCTTCTACAACTTGAATAGGCGTTTATGCTGACGGGGAGGAATCTGCGAGATCTCTCTCGATTGACATGATGGGCAATGCCGACGGGAAGACGAGAACCATCTTCTGTGCAGGTATGTGATTGCAGATCTTCGTTAATTTAGAGTTCTCCAGGACGTGAACACGAGCGACACATTCAACAGGCGGACTGAGTTGTTAAATTAGACTCCGGGGGAAGCGAAGAGTCCCGGAGACTAAGGGGCGATGAGGTTTTTCAATGTGTCCGCTTCGTTTTTGAGGAAGCTCGAGGGACGTGAGGCGCACGGAAACGCTCAATGGGTTCGATCGAAGTTTCTCGAGATCGGAGCTCACTCGGAGACAGTCATTCCGATCGGCCGATCGCAGATTTTCGGCCAATCGATGATTTTGAGGCGTAGCCATTGATTCTATAAGCATTTGTCCAAAAATGAGATTTCCCCGCTCGGTGGGATCAAAATCTCTAAGCCAGGTCTCTCAGCTTGGGATCCCATCCACAACTCTTCTGAGTGGTTAGCGATTACACACTGTGCTCGGAGTGATCGATGGAGGATATAAAATATTCGATCCATAGATGCCCCAGGGAAGCGAGCGAATCACCTTTCTTGGTAAGCCCGGCAATGAGAGATTCCGCCGCTAGCGATCCATGACCAGTGCCAGGAAGAAGCGCGAGCCGAGTAGCCGGTCAGAGCCTTCCGAATCTGATCGATGGCTGCCCGGGCCGGAATATGCACGATGGTGACATTCCATCGCTCGGCTTCAGGTCGCTCAGAAGCTCACAATCGATTGCAGCTGTATATTTTCTGATGAGCTATGTGGATCATAGATGCTGTAAGATATATTTGCGGGTAGTGAGTAGGCTTCGCAACCGCGGTTATTAACCGCAATCGCGGTTTTTCTTCAAGATGGGACTCTATTGGACACAGCGAGTAGCCGCAGTCAATAATCGCGTTTTTCATGAGATTTGCGGTTTTTTGAAAAGCCTAGTAGTGAGTCGCTCATGATTCGTAATACTTCGATCCGAAAGACTCTCCATGGTCGACGAGAGTCCACGAGCCGATTCCGCATCGACGTCGGATGCATGATTGAAGTCGTGGTCACGGATTTCGGCAATCGAGGGGCTAAGCTCGGCGAAATAAGTGGCCGGTTGACACCAGCGGAAGTTTGGAATCTCCACCTATGTGGCGCGCGGAGTTGCGAACCACGAAAATTTCCGATGCGTTCTCTCGAACTCGATGTCCCGAGGTTCTCGATGAGTTAAGCCATGGAAAGTATAAAAACTTCCTGCGGAGCGATCTGAGAATTTCGTCGCGATACCGAATTAGTCTTAATCGAATTCGATTCTCTTTCCAGGAAATCTACCGCCGGAAATTTCAGGACATCGTATTATATGTGATGACAAATGCGTTTACTCATTTGGAGGCTATTCACCGAAGGGGAACGATGATCCCATCGTGAAAGAACTCTGGAGATTCCACTGCCTAAGGAAAGAGTGGACAAAGGTCCCTGTGGCAGGCTCAATCCCGAAGGAGGTTGCTTCCAGTGGAGGTTCGTGGTCTACGATGGGATGAGCTTCTCGTCGCGGATGACGATATCGGTCTCTGGTCGAATATTCCGGGGAATTCCGAAGTATGCTCTGTGGGGTGATCCGCTCGATTTTTTTTCCAGTCGTGTTATTCGACAATCACATGTTCCTCTACGGTGGTACAGGCCTCCCCTTTGGTCACCGTCTCAATGGGGACGTCTATTACTGTAGTCTAGCGAAGAGGAATGAAAAGGGAGCCGTTGTGTGGAGGAAACTACCGGTCGAGGGGAAGGCTCCGAATCCCAGATACGGGCAGGTAACTATCATCGCGCCATTCATCGCCATCGTATGCCGAGGCTGTACAGCGCTCGGTGATCTCGGTTGCGAAGGGAACGACTAACTAATGTTTGATGATGTTTTCAGGCGGTTGCAGTCAATAAGCACTGCCTGTATGTAGTCGGAGGAACCGATGGCAGCAATTATTCGATTGAAGTACATCGGTTGCATTTACGAAAATTCCGCTGGGAGAAGCTGGCAGAAGATTCGCTAGATCCACTGGATGATGTCCCAGAGATCAGATATCGAGCGGAGATAATCATCCATGATGATGAAATTCTCGTTTTCGGAGGTGGTACCCCTGATTTGGTGTATGGCCTTTCAATGGTGAGTATGAATGATCCACGATATCCTCATAGGCTGAGAGTGACCGAGGCGCAGTCGAGTGCTTAGCGCTTCTCGTGCCCCGTCAGAGGAACGTGCGCCCCAGTAGAGTGAGCTCCATTCCGGGAAGAGTTCGGCGGCTTTTCTCATCCGGGAGCCAGCCTGATTCCGGGAGCCAGACTGTAAAATTCATCAGCTGGTCCTGGTCCCGATCTCATCGCGGAAATCCGCGATGCGACCCGGACGTTCAGCCTGGGATCTTAGGTAGCGGCTCGCTTGAGCTCCTCAACGGACCTCGATCCATCTCGGATCAATACGATGTTGTTTTGTCTGATTCTTGCCGAGATGCTTAGGAGTGCCGCAATTCGAAGCACTCTTTGTTTTCAGCTACCGGTGTTTAATTTGACCACGCGGAAGTGGACGCGGAAGGGGACGCTCCCGGACCCCGTGAACGGTTACCCAGGGGCAAGACGGTGCCACAGCGTGGTGCAATCGACCTGCGGCACTTGGGTTGTAATCGCAGGCGGCATTGGCGATCACAGATGTTGCGACGACATTTGGAAGCTGAACTTGGTCGAGATGAGATGGATGCGACTCGACCGATCCTTACCGGAAGGAGTATTCTTCCATTCCTCGGCAATAAGCACCGTAAGTCCGAATCCCACTAACTAAGTCCACTGGGCACGAATTCGCACAGGCCATAGAGCCCCAGATGGCGTGTTCAAGTATACGGCGCATCGAGCTCAGTCCCACATTTTCCAGGGCAATCGCATGTACACTTTCGGAGGCGTGCTGGCATCGAATGAGAGGACCAACAAGTTATCAGTGTTAGACGTTACGGTACCTTCTCTGCAAGACATGTGCGTGCAAATACTCCTGGATGCTAAGCCTTCGCTCTTCGGGACGGAATTTGACGACTTGACGAGGTTGGGAGTGCCTCGGAAATATGCTCGTCGGATAACCCCGTGAGCGAAAGAAGGTTCAGAAGATACCATCGTCACCGCAATCGAATCACCAGAGATTGTTTTTTTTCGTCGTTGATCGAGCGTAGATTCGGAGAACCATCGCGTCTCCTTTGTCGGTATTGATTCTCCACATTCATCCGTTAGCGAGATGTGTAAATCGCTCGCAAGCGGAGTCATTAGAAGCCTAGGGGTCATTACGAGTCGCGCCATTTCCGATGTTTCTATGTATCTTCGAAGTAAGCCTCTTGAGGCTCGAACTCGACGAGAAGCGAGAGTTCATCATCCCTGGTGGAAGAAGAATTGTACAGAGCAGTAAAGTGACTTTTTGAGAGGAACGACATGATTCTTGCATTGTCCGAAGACGACTAATGATTAAGACTCAGTCTCACGGATTGTCCCCTATGAGGTTTCACCCGAAGACTTCGAGTTCTGTCAGCACTTGCCGCGAAAGCGAGGCGGTCGAATCCCGAGATCCTCCATATCCAGCTTACTTCAAGCTTCCTCAGGAGCTCTAGGCCACCGCTGGTCTCGAATCGACGGAGTCTGTTTGGAAACTCGGGACGGCCGAGACAGGGAACGTTATCTGGATCCGGATTCGGGGCCAACTGAAGACAAATAGAGAGCAGAGCCACTTTGATATGTAGATGGCGAAGAACATCGAGCAGCGAGAGAAACATGATTTGCGAACGGAAGTCTTGCGAATTCTCATCCCCCCGGATTACGTGAGATTCGGTACTATCCATGACAGGCTCGTCGGGGATCGGGTTTTCAGGGTGGGGGCGAATTTTCATCTGAATACCACCGAGTATCCAGAGCTCGACGCAGGGAACGTCAGCGGGATTCGGATGAGTCGGCCGTGGAGGATGGTACCCGAGAGACTAGCGATACATAGATCACGGGAGTCTAGTTCTGAAGCTAAGGAAGCCGGCTCAACGAGTGTCTCGCCGATAGAAGGAATCATTGACCGTAGGAGCTGACAACTCGCACGAGTTTATTTTCGGGGTAAAGCTATACTTTTGGAATTCTTATCGGTATCCGGGTCGTCAACGTTCCGCACTACCTCCGTATCGACATTCATCAGGGAGCCCAGTGCCTGCGTCCTTTTTCTGATGCCTCAGTGAGAGTCTTCGACGACGAATTCCTTGCCGTTGATATAGGGCATGACTCTCTCCGGAGGCTTGATCCATCAAGCAGCTTTCGACGTGTACTGTAGAGATGAAAACGAGTTAGTAGATACCCTCATACGGAGTGATCCATGAACAGGGAAGATCAAGGGGGAGGACCTATCTCACTTTCTGCTTGTAGTATTCATTGAAGTCCTTCTTGGTTGCTGCCAGATGATCCTCGATAGCACTATTGACGGACTGTAAGCAAGGCGGATGAATCATTGCTAGGAAGACGGTGACACCCCACATAGGAATGACATCCCGGAGAGAACTCCCACCATTAGATAAATGGATGAGAATAAGTATCTGACCTACCTCTTTCGCAGCGGCGAACTCTCCCATGACGTCGACGTTACCAGCTTCTTTCCTGAATTGCTCAATGAATGCGCCTCTTTTTATGAGTTTGTCGTACATCGACATGGTTCTCGAGAAGAGGGACGATATCGACGTATGATTGGCCAACATGAGCCCAGAAACTCTGAATGGCGTCTTGACGTAGGGTGACCGTCTCGACAAGCAGACTCGGATGCCGGCTGGTGCCCAGGGAATGAAAGCCGCATATCGGCGGTCACGTAAGCGTGTTAACGACGAATGTAACTGTAATGCAAATGAGCGTGCAAAATACAAAAGGAGCATGATCCTTAAATCGCGGCTGATTTCTGTTCGGACCACATAATGACGTCATCAGAATCACTCACATCGGATGTGTCCACGTCGCCTTGAATGATATTCAACAAGTTCACGTAGCAGTGCTGATTGCCGCTGAAGTTCGTCGAGACCATCATGTTCTTCTGTTGCAAGAGTCTTCTCATGACGTCGAGGACCGTGGTTCGTTGGACAGCCTGTTCCTGGTCGTTGATCATCAAGGGCGTGAATCCTGGGGGTGATTAAAAGCTCCGTGCTTTAGTCCCGAAGAAGGGTTGCGATCGAGACCGATAACAGCTGTCAAATCGAACAAACTCCGTATGGGGGACAACCTGTCATGAGAAAATGTAGACTCTGAACCGGGATGAGCGGGAACAATAATGATTTGATATCGGTATAGAGCGCCGACGGGAAACGCATAGTAGCAGTTGAGAGCGACATGATATTCGACACCATGTTGTTGACCTGCGCGAACGATGGGTTCTGTATATGGAGTCTGGAAGGGAGATTAGAATCATTCTACTAACTAATTCCCATGATCAGCTAGCTCTCAGCTTCAGGACTTGGTCGCTCAGGGGAGTGCATCCTCGATGAGGCTCACCTTTCGCAAGCAATTCTGTTCAATGCCGTGTTATCAAGAACTATGCAACAGTCGGCGAATTCAATCAGACGTCTGAGAGTCAACATGGAGTTGTAGGGCTGCACCACGACATCAGCACTGTCGTCTTGATTCGGGAACACCGAATAGGTTTGGATGAGCTTCTTGGGGAAACGGTCCTTCACTTGCTCGATTATGTAACTGCCCATACCGGATCCTGTGCCGCCGGCTATGGAATGGCACAGCACGAACGCATCAAGCGAATCAACATTCTCGGTTTCCCTCTCGAGGATTTCCACGATCTTCGGAGAAGCGGAGGAAGTCGAATTAGTTCTCAAACATACGCGTCACGTCCACCCAGCCACGCTTCCGATGCCCCTTGCTCACTTCGTCTCTGAGTTGGTGTCCTTGACTGTAGCCCGACGCCCAATTGTTACCCGCGCCACCTCCTGTTTTGCTCACGTATATGTTCTCGCGGTTATAGAGTCTTTCGTGCTCTGAGTTGAGGATCGTGTTGATCACCCGAGGCTCCAGATCTACTAAGACGGATCTATGGGAGGGAAAAGTCAAGGTGGGGAAAGGCCCGTTAAGTATTATGCGTTTTGGTCGTCTCGAGTCTGGGTTGCTCAGAGTGCCCAGAATGTCATATCCTAATGTGACTCGGGCTATCTAACCTCGGAATATAATGGTTGTCATCGGCCTGATAGAAGAAAACATCCTTGCAATCTCCGATGTTGTCGTCAGGGTTGATCGCGATACCTTGCGGAGAGATTCCGTGTTCCAGGCACAATTTCTTCCAGAATTCGAATCCAACTGAAAGGGACTATTCATTCAGCTGCATCCCCCAATAGGCGTCGATTTGATCTTAAGTTCCGAACGCAGGAATTTGAAGCGGGTAAGGTACCCTCGTATATATAAAGTGAAACCTGTCTAATGAGATTATCTGTGGATGAGTCCGGAAGGCGGGCCGATATTTCGAACCATTGGGCAGGTTTTGAGTTTCGACCCATGAGACATATTTTGGTTCGAAGCCCGGGAAGAGCGGTCCGATACCTCGGGGGGCTCTCCTGAGAGCTTTTCACTGTATGTATATCTCGTATCTTGGGTCGATGGGTTATTAGCTCCTCGAGAACTCGAGCGCTCGTACCCCTGACCGATTCGATACTAACTCTGATTGCCACACTGGCCAGCTTGGATGGTCACGACTTGCCGTGACATCTGTTATTCGTCACAGATTCTGATAGAACGAATGTTTCTCAGTTTTTGGGCAAACTCGATTCTCCGCACTCTTCGTGGGGGAAGAGATGTTTTTGTTATGATCCGGAGTTCAAGTCGCCGCGACTTATAAGCGCGCGCCAAAACTCTCTCGGGATATCGTCTGCTAGGAGTCTTCCCCTTCCGAACGCGCGCGCGACTACATCCGATCCGATGATGGGGATTCGTCAAGCGAAGGTAAAGGAAATTGCTACATGGGTTCGAAAAATTCATGCACGACTATGAAACGAGTTATTTAGGAATGAAATGAAACACCCTCGAGTCTCTACGCCAGCTTCAGACCTCGCCTCGTGAAGCTCCACAGGCGACCAAGAGCCAAGAGGATCGAATGAGAGTCGGTTGAAAGCGCAGGGCTTGCCCTTCTCAACTCTGAATGATTCGAATATCGACGGGGGTTGAGTATGTGGGTGGACAACTGAGCTCCAGTCGGTTTCGATTAATTCTGCTGGGCTCTGATGGGAGACCGGAGCTTCCGAATGATGTGATTCCATTACATCTCCGGAGTGGAGTCGCGCGTGAGTGGGGTCTTACTGGCAAGAAGACTATATGTCCAGCGTGAGACATTTGAGAGCAGTCGACAAGAGAAGCTTTCGCGGTTGACAGAAATCAATATGAGCCCCTCTACGACAGAAGCCCCGCCAGCAGGATGGATACATATGGGGAAATATAAGTCTGCATCTCTATGGGAAGATTTCTGGATCGTGGAATGCACTTCCGAAATGCATCTCGCGTCAAAGCTCCCGGGCTGTCCGTCCAAATTCCCCTTGTCGGCGAGTCTTCGTTCCTTAGCACTTCGACATAAAACTCGCGACCAGTACTATCCTCGGGAATCGGACGCACAACGTCCACGGAGAGCACCACAAGCGTACGTCTGAAAAGCGTCCGTACCCACAGGGAACTTTACGTACTATTTTCGCAGTTTTAGCGGAATATGTGGAATCGAATCTGTGCGGCTCACGGACAGAAAAAATTAAGATGCAGGAAGGCGCTCCTGCGGATCGACGACGACTTGATTTTGAGAGCGTCTCTCCCACTCAAGTTGCCTTTTCTTCATCGGGACGGTCGGAATTTATTCAAGTCGAGAGCATACTCCGGAAAGCATGGTATCCGGAAGGTCGAGATACGAGATAGAGTGAAGACAGTTCCTCCCTCTCGTTGTGGTGGGTTCTCCTCTTCTCTCGCTTTGCTTCGGTTCCCTTTCCCAGAATCAGTGCTCTGTAGGGCGGCTGAGCCATCGCTGCCGCAGCTACTTCTACGGCTCCTACCACTGCATCTACCAGTTCTCGGATGATTTCTCATGTCTCTGGAAGTTTTGTGAACTCGATTACTGATCGACCGGAGGCTTTCCGACTTCAACTAACTGACTACTACAGCCAGCTAGCCTGCTAGTCGACTACTAACTGCGAGATCCGAGGGAAACGGTAGTTTCCGATCGTGCCCGAAGGCATCGGGAGACGAATCTCGAGCGAATTTCCCGGGGGAACGGAAAAGCTGATCTCCGAGTTCGTGGACATCACCATGTCCTGATCCTCCACGTAGTTATGAGGTGAGTCACACGCGGCGACGCGTATGCGCGATCTTTGCTCCAGTCAGTCAGTTCCTCTATCTCTGTACCCTAGACTTACGGGAGCTATTCCTCCCTTGCTACTCGGATGACGTGCTCTACGCTCCTTGGGTTTCATGGTATCCAATAATGCTATCTCTCATCCAAGCGACTCGAAGGTACCGTTCTCCGTGGCGACGCTCGCTCAGAAATCAAACTCCGTATAAAACGCATCTACAATCAGAACGATAGATCGCCGCTTCCGTAGAAAGCCTGACCGAGAGATTTCCAGTTCATGGTTCCGCAGAGTGAACCTTCATGGCATTGACGTTCCTCTAGGAGAGTGTGCCTACATTGGAACTGATAGGAATGGTCAGATTGTGCCGGCGAGAGCACGTTCAGGGAGTAGCCCATCGTCGGCGAGCTCCGCGTAGCGCTGTCGCGATTTCCGTCGGTCCAAAGATCAACTCCTACGGTTCCAGTTTCACTTGACTTATCGAGCGGCTATCGATGACAGAACAAATGATATTCTAATATTTTATTCGCGGGGGCGTTGGGGCATGTACCATTTTTCGCTTAAGTTTCTTGGCCAATTAAAAAAATTCACCGGATTCCCTCATTTGAAGACTAGCGAGTCCCGAGTTCCTACCTGGGATAGAGTGTACAACTCAACGGGTCGGGATGAATCGCCGATGCGATGAGAGCAGCGCGCATTGTAGGATGGGCTTCCTCCATCTGGAAAGACCGCAGGAAGCAACCCGGTTTCAGTCGGGGGACTACCAGTCCAACTATGTACCTGAACATAGTGAATGCCGCGGATCCCGTCTTTCCGAGAGTGCGTACATGATATTGCGAGATATGATCGATTTACAACCACGAACTGACGGGATGATAAGGATCCAATGAAACACTCATTCAGGAGTCGTCCTTCGTCACGGCTATTGAGCGCGTTACATTAATTAGTGGAGTGATGTCCCCGCAGCTTTGGAGTGATTGACTGCAAACTTTCGCCGCGTCAAGCCCACGCCTAGATGGACCCATGCGCGTCGTTTCGGAACTTCTAGTTCCTCTTATTCATAGCTCCGGCGATAGTCGAATTCGAGGGTAGGTAACGATACCAGGGCTGTAACGACGGTATCAGACACTTTTAGCTGTGCCCACTAGATGCTCGCTGGCTGCCAAGCGCTTCTACGTCGCAGAGAGCTCTGTCTTTGTGGCGACTTCAGATGAAACCATTGTACTAGAGACAGTTCCGCTCTGATCGGGTGCGGCATGTCGCTTCTCACAGGCTCATCTGAACGCTCTGAATGACTGTGCATATGTCCGCATCCGAGTCCCGAGCTCGAAAGGTGCCTTCCCCATGACGTGCCTGCTACGTATGTACGCTCCATCGTCAAGCATGCTCGCGTTTGAGATTCATCTTCTGGTGACCCTTGACTTAGTCGGAGATATCGGCATAGATCGGCAGAGCATTGCTTGCCGGATGGAGCACGTTTTCCCGAGATTCTCGTCTCGAGCTCAACGTTCTCTAATCGTGCGGGGGAGCTCAACGAGGGTCGCGGCCATCCGCCATCCGCCATCCGCCATCCGCCTCGAAAAGTGGTAGTATATTGCAACTTGATCACCACTTGAGCTCAGATCAGATGTTGTTCCGGAAGCATGGAAGAACGATAATCATCGGACCGTCGGGAACGACGAAACGTCTAGTTCAATGATCTTTCATTCTGTTCCCGGCGCTCGGGGCTTCGATGGGCTCATTTACCTGCTACTAGAAGCTGAATGAATGAGGAGAGCTTCTAGCAATCAAAAGTCAATCAAATCAATAAGTGTAATTATGCGAGAACAATAATTCTCTGAATGGGAGACACGACTTTGATTAGAGTCCATGATTGTCCCCGGAGAAGAATGTGATTCGGAAGTGATCCCGTTGTACATAGGTCCTCTTATTCCGGCTGCTGCTTTTGTCTGGGGAGGTCGATCGATTGGCACGTCTGTCTCTTCTCGTGCAAACAAACTCCGTGCAAAGTCGCCTCGGTCCGTGAAGTGACGCCGACGCCTCGTCGCTCGGGTGGGAGGTGGCGTTGCTTCGGAAGTTGCTGTCAGTATCATACCGTGATCCCTCTGAATGGAGGTTATGGCACCCAATCCTTCAGAAGTAGAGGGATCCCCGTCATATATGGGGACGTGCCCTTTCAATTATGGAAGCATGCTCCCCTGCATAGAATGATCCATAGATGGGGGCTGAGTTCCAGAGGAGCTCTTTCTGAATCGCGTCGTCCTCGAGGTTCTGGTCTAATCCAATCAATCATTCCACTTGATCCTACGAATTCGAGTGAATTCCGGGCCCCTCGATCCGATGTCCGCCCCGGAATCGAGACTTGGATTGTGCCCGTCAATTCGCGATCGCCGATCGCGGTATCCTCGCTCGGGAGCATTACCATGACTGATGTCCAGGCATCGAGCCTCAGCTGGTCGGTCCATCTCCGATGGAAACTAATCTTGAAGAGAATCGCCCTCGGGATTAGGCATGACTCCCGGGATTTCAGACCTACCGCTCCGAAATCCTGGCAGCCAGAAAATGCAAATGAACTTTTCTCATTCTCTTGCAGATTTTATGGTGCGTGTGATCAAAGTGTATCTAGACCTGAGTGTGGGCGAGGGAAACACTGGATGTTGATGCGGGCCAGGAGCGGAGTCGCGCAGGACCCATCCATCGACGTCACCTTCAGGAAACGGGATCGAGAAGTTTTGCCGATGAGGTCCGCGAGGATTGCCCATTCTAGCAGGCTCGCTTTTCTGCTCACACAATTCGGTAAGGTCGTGAAGCTCAAGATCAATGAGCGCATTCGGGATCGCAAAAGATTATTAATCGTATGTTTCCATCTCTCAAAGGCATCACAAGTCAAGAATACCTTTCATCAAAATACCTTAAGCGGAGTCGATCCTCCAGAAGTTTATCGTCACCATGGTGGAACTCGATGGAGCAAATAGACGAAATACGAATCATGCTGTCCTAAACAAGCTACTATCTAGGCAAGATGAAGGAAATCTAGAGGCTCCGGCAACAATCCGGAATGTGAGTTTGGGCGGTCGTGGTTCTCAACAGTATCAACTTGAATACGAGCCATACGTCGTTGATTCATGCTGCGGCCGATTCCAGGAGTCGAACATCGCGTCGGAAGCCCTCGGGGCATCCGCCGCATCTAGGCCAGAGGCGACCGGCCTCGGTCCCAGGACGGGATCGAAGTCGCTATCACCGTCGACGCTTCGGAGTCCTGGTCTCGCGCGAATACGTCATGACGACTCAGAAAATTCATCTTCGAGCCGGTCGTCGTCGTCGGGAACTCGCAAGAAACAACGGCTCCCACCCGATGGAGGATGGGGTTGGATGGTCGTGTTGGCATCGTTCGCTATAAATTTGATCTCAGATGGAGTTTCGTCATCACTCGGAGTTTTCCTGCCAGACTTGACACTGTACTTCAAAGTAGGACGAGGCCATGCGGCGTGGGTAGCCAGTCTCTTCCTCTCTATGCCACTCTTGGCCGGTCCGATTGCCTCTTGGCTCACGGATCGTTATGGATGTCGGCGTGTCTGCATAATGGGCTCCATCTTGGCGTCATTGGGATTCGTGCTCTCCTACTTTTCCAACTCGCTCGCTCTTCTATACGTCACGTTCTCATTCGCGGGGTTCGGGCTCGCTCTCTGCTACGTTACGTCGGTCGTGATCGTCGCATACTACTTCGAAAAGAAGCGCTGCCTCGCGACCGGGCTCTCAGTCTGCGGCTCCGGCGTTGGCACCTTCATATTCGCCCCGCTGACCTACATGCTCGTGGCAGAATACACTTGGAGGGGAACATTGCTCATCTTCGCTGGATTCTTCCTGAATATGGTTGCCTCAGGCGCCCTGATGAGGGACCTCGATATTCAAAACGAAAGCGACGATGAAGAAGACAATCACAGCGCCGTATCAAGCCAATGGAACTCTGCCAGTCACCTGGACGACGGCAAACGGATGTATCATTCCTTATTGCAATTGCCTACCTATCTCTCGAATGAGTCCCCGAAACTACCCGTGCAGGTGGGTCGTGGCGGACGAGATAGTATATTGTGATCGCCTTCATGGACCATGTGCGTCATCATGATCATCCACGAGCATCGAGCTTGTGAGGGTTAGCCGTATCCCTACTTTTTTTCCAGGTTCTCACGGAGATGTCATCAAAAGAAAAAGGTCACTTGAAGTCTCTTCTAGAGCTATATCCGAACCTGTGGCATGACGTGCTGAACCAAAATGACGACCCCTACTTGACTGTCAAGTCTTCTCCGTTATTCAAAACCATCCAAGAGCACCGGGTATTGGAGGATGTTTCCACCCTCTTCCGAAATGATTGGGAGAAGAAAATCCCGAAACTCGATGAAACGTTAGAAATGCAATCTCAAAGCTCCGCTACGCTACCAGGCGATGCCACCACTACCATTCCCAGCGCAAGAAAAGAAACCGTTCTCTCTCTTGATCCGGGCGCAGCGAATAATGGTGTCGTCAGGAGTAGTTTAGCTTGTGCTACGGTGAGCACGAAGAAATCTTCAAGTTTGCGCCAGAATAGACAGGCTAGCATTGGGCCACTGCCCTTACTTCCAAGAGACAGGGCCAACTCTGCGGCCTATCTACGCAACTTGAGATTGCAGCGGGGCTCTCTTACCTATCGAGGAGCCATGCTCAACATTAAAAGGTATGGTCACTGTCTTCTTGTGTATGTTCCCTCATCGACCCGACCACGACAGGCCACAGCCGTGGACTGACTCAGCTTAGCTTCATGATCACATTCCAGGTATCGACTCAAGGCTTCTAGCTGTCCGAACATTTATCGAAATTCCATGACCACCATCCATGATATGGACTCCACTCCTTTCGAATTCTTCGAAGACCTGAGAGACGTTGTATGCGACATGATGGATGTCAGACTACTGACAAATTTTAAGTGAGTACGCATTCGAGTTCAATACATTCATCATGCCCGCATACAGAAGCACATACATATATGCACACATGAAGGATCCTTCGCTCCAAGTCCACGGAAGCGGACGAAGAGAAGTGTCGAGAGGCATTCTCAACCATTCAGTCCCGTGAGGAGAATTATTATTATAAAACGGGTTCGGATCTCTATGGGGCTGGAATCAAAAATGACCACCCGCTCCAATACTTCAGCATTACGAAACCATGTACAGGGAGGGGGGCGATAGCTTCTTTCAGACTCGACTTGGATGTGCCTTTGGCTACATGGGGATGTCATGAGCAGAGGTTCCCGAAGTGGTCCACGGCGACGGGTCGCTGGAGGATCCTATGGGGGATTCCACAGCTCTCGAAGGGCTAGTGCTAAGGATACATACGGGGACCAAAGGGGATCCGCTGCCGTTCGACGCGGGATCGAGCCGTCAGCGCAGCCGTCCTGACGGTCCGTCAAGCGACGCGCGGACTCTGACGATTCCGTATTGGAAGGAACCTTCTGAGTGCTTCGCGACTGTCCGATGATCTCGCGATTCCTCAATTTTTCTGACTGCTCCCTGATGAGCGGTGAGGGAGTGAACAAGCGGAGTCGCTATCGAATCCTCTTGAAACCCATTGAGCATAAGCGTTGTATGACTTTCACTCTCAGTCAGTTGAGAACATCGGTTCCCGAACTATGGGGCGACGTCGTGAATCGAACTCGGAACCTCCTCGACGATGATGGCGTCTCATTGGCCGTGGGAGAACTCTATTTATCCATGAAAGATCCTTCCTATGCGATGAGCACTCGGCATCCGCGCGGGTCTCTACCGCGACGCCTGGAGGCATCGCAGCCTCCCGACTCGAGGATTTCCTCACTGATCTAGAATATCGCTAGTCTGTGACATGTGTCACGAACCCACGTTCGGTGATGCTAGGTATAACGTACGACAGACTTCGGAAAGTATAGGAGCCCACTCAGGGAAACCGTTCGCGGGCTTTCTAGGGGAAGGAGGATACGGTGAGGAGGTTGATATCCACACAGCGCCCTCGGGCCACTAGTCCGGGTCAGAAAGTGTCAGCTCGAGAATCGATTCACGGTCGATTCCGTCAAGCTCTGGTTATTCTAAAATAAAAGTTGCCCCTGGTGTCCACCCCAGTGAAACGAAATAGAAGTCGTTTTCCATCTGATCGTGGCGGGTTGGTAACATTTGGTGTCAGAAGTTTCGAGCGAATCTGCGTAGGTCAGCGATCGGTCATCGTGACACGCACACTCCATACCCGCTCTCAAGTTCTCGGCTTGAAGGGGTTTTCAAGGAAATTTCACGGCCGACGTCCTTCATAGGAGTCCGGTGATCTTTCAATTGTTCTGATCATTGGGATCAGAAAAACCAGGCGTCCGTAGCGTCAGCATCGCAGGACGCTGGTCATACCCGCTCTCCGTTCATCACACGGAAAGGGTTCTGAGGGATTTCACTCAGGTTTCCGGCCGAGTGAAATAAGTCTCCGAAATTCATCTTTTCGCTGTGCTCGACGCGAAGCTCGGCAGCCAAGTGCGGTTTTGGGTCATCAGAGAGACTTCCAAAACTTCAGTTCAGGAGCTATAGTGAATCAGAGCTCTCAGTGCTTTGCTCAATTTCTACAATTAACGAATCAGGAATTATTCGACCTATTCCATCCAATCGGTTCCCCACTCCATCGTCGACAGCGCATTCACCTGTTCAGGTTTCCGGCCGAGCAGGATCTCCGATCGGTGTTGAGATCACCGTAGCGAGTAGGGTAGGCTTAGGCTCGGGTTGACGGCCCGATCGGAGCAGCAGTATCATGGCAGACCACGGTGAGAAGATGAAACCCGAAGAAGGTACATCGGCGGAACTCACAGAGGACGACTGCCGTTTAGACTCGGAACTCGTGGAGAGTAAAAAATCGCGGAAGGTGATTTACCGTAATGTAGACGAGCTTTTGGCAGTCACACACCAACTCGAATCATTAACGAGTAAACCCTTAATACTGACCCGAAAGTTAGAGCGAGTCTCACGTCTGGCAGCAGAACTGGAGGCTCGGCTAACCACCGTAGTGAACACGATCCAGAGGCTGTGTGGAGAGCTAGGTGAGGAGTACCCGGATGACGAAGATAGGGCTCTCTTCTATGGGGAAGTCTTCGAAGACATCAAGGCGACCATAGAGCAATATCGGGCAGATATCGCAACCGCGCCGGCTTCGGTCACACCGGTTTCAGTCGCACCAGTTTCGGTAGCACCGGTTCGCGATAGACCGACAGCAAACCAGGCACTAGCTCTGGAAAGCACCCCAAACAGCCGGGTTCCGCCCGGTTCTGAATCTACGCCAAGATTCTTACATAGCTTCATGGATACAGACAGTTTGGATCGGCAAGCGGAGAGCAACATTCGGAATGCTGGAAACCCGCCACAAAACGCCGTGGGGCCGCCGCAGACGGGCAACGAACGACCGCAACTCTCCATACAGGAGGATGCCCCAGTACCCTCGCCAATCTCTCCGGCACCGGGAACGACAGCGGCAATCGGAATCCCCAGTCAATCTCTGCCGACGATTGGTTATTCGCTGGGTAAAAACGCCCGGGAGGTTCCCAAGTTCAGCGGGACCCGCGGAAGTTCCGAGAATGGCAACAACTATTTTCGGTATTTGTTGACCAAACTCCGGCCCCAGTCATAGAAAAGCTGAATCTGCTCCGAAAATCATTGTCAGGCAGAGCATTGACGGCAATCGCTCACCTCCAATGGGAGGAGAGTCATTACAATGTTGGCATTGGGGAGGAGTCGCACTCACCCTACAGAAGATTCGGAGCAGATTCCTCATCCTGAAGGGTAGGAAACTCACGAGTGACGCGTTGAAATCTTGTCAGAGATGCAAGCGCTTTACCGCCATGCCGGCAGCAGAAATCACGCCGCCGCTACCCTCTTCAGGATTGACAACACCCCCATTCTCTTTTGCGGAGTAGACTTTGCCGGGCCTCTCCACTGCAGATCGGAACTCGGCGCGGAAACGAAGGCTTACATCCTCCTTTTCACATGCGCAGTTTCCCGGGCTGTGCATCTAGAGATGACATACGATCTCTCAACCTATGAGGTGCTCAGAGCACTACAGAAATTCCTCGCCAGACGACCAACGGCGAAGAATTTATTCTCAGATAACGGAGCTTCGTTTCGTCGGGCAGACAGGGAAATCAAGCTGATCTACCAACACATAGCGAACGGCGATATCGCAAACTGGATCGTGAAATCCCACATGTCGTGGAAATTCATAACCCCGGCAGCACCATGGGTTGGCGGATTTTGGGAGAGAATGGTGGGGGCCACTAAGCGATGTCTCTACCGGGTAATCGGGAGTTCAAAGCCTTACCTCAGAGACCTGGAGGTTATTCTGTGCGGTGTGGAGTCAATCATCAACCAGAGACCATTAACTCCGGCGACGATTGATCCGAGCGAGATCAAAGCGCTGTCACCGGCAAATTTGATGTACGGTTATGAGGGGAATACATTTTTTCCGGAAATGTCATTCGAGCCGAAGCGTAAGCTAGACATAGGAGCGGTTGTGTTCTCCAAGCGATGGAGTTTCCAGCACAAATTCTGACGGATTTCTGGAAGAGATTCCGCACAGAGTACCTAACCCATTTACGATCGGCACACAGCAGGAAACCGGTGAACCAACGATCATTGAGAGTCGGAGAGATTTGCATTTTAAAGGACGACAAATCCTCCCGCGGTTTCTGGCCGCTGGTGAGAATCCTCAGAATGCACGGAGGTGCCGGATCTGACTCACGTAGGCGCTCGTGCACAATCCTAACTGGTCGCGGACAAACGCTTACCCGACCGATTCAACTACTATACCCGTTAGACGTCGAAGAATTAGAGCCGCTACAGAAATAGCGATTGTTTCTAGACAACCGATCATCAAAACGGCGAGCTCGGAAAAGAAACATGGCGCAACCTCGGAGACTCGATTTCACATATCGTTTTCGAGTTTGTGAGAGAGGAAACCTGCTCACGAGGGCCAGCCCGGCAGGAATGATGTTCGTTATCGGAGCCTATAGATTTCGGAATTGGGTTCCC